TAGAACAAGAACGACCGAAAAATCTCATGGATCAATGCTTATTACAAATAATGGAGCACGAGGGAGACGACGTGTCCAACTATCGTCGACTTCGCAGCCTGGCCTGGTAATTGATCCTCGCGGAGTACCTGAAGGGCGGCACTCCTGGCTCTGTTTCATGATGTCTTCGTGGTAAAGTACCCTAGGGCGGACTTGCTTAGGTAGGACAGCTCACTGTGCTTCCCGGCTTGGGCCATTGGAGGGGTTTCTTCCCAATAACAGACAACATTGAAGTATTGGACCATCACCTCACCTTTCGCCATCAGTGGCATCGCCCACGGAAAAAGCCCAGCGCCGCGGAACACGTCCATCAAATTGATCCATGGAAAGAATAATTGCGGGGTATCCTTGTACCGATTTGCAATGCTTGGGGATACCGACGCATACCTTGAGGCGAATTATCAATCGCCAGCCAAAATGGTTGGATGGCTGTGATATCAATCGAGACCCTGACATTTTAAGTTTGGCCATTGAGGCTCGTACCTGGCACCAGCTCAACACTAACATCAATTGATCACCATGCGCTCCATACTCTAGGTGAGGTCACCAGGTGCGATCTGGGAACACGTGCCTTCCGGATTTTGAGCTTGGAATTGGTAGTACTTCTACTTTCTTGTTCAGAGCGGGGACGACTCTATCTTCATCCTCATCTTTACAGTTGTGGATATTTTGCCGGCGGTGGCCGTTTACCGCTGTTTGTGCAGGCCAAGGACCAATCGCACTTGCATTGGCGTTGTTCGGCAGCCGCGAGTCTTTGTCCGGGTATCCCAATTGGTCTAGATGCCTAATGCCCACGCCCTCCCCCCAACCATTGACTGACAGGAAACCGCTTCCCTTATTACACACGATGAAGTCGAGGATAGGCAGGCTGCCATCGGAGTAAGGTAGGCCGCATGTCAGTGCTCAATGTGCTGATCGGCAGGAAACCTCGTGTCGAGCGGTCGGGCAGCAAGAGCCGGGAGCATTAGAAACTGATGGTACAATATGCTCCCTACTAAGGGAAGGCAACACCAGTTCCCACATGGCGATCAGCCGCGGCACCCTTCCGCCGACGGCGGGCGGGATACACTTGCCTTTATTGTCATAGATTGTGACTAGGTACGTTTCTCAGGAGCCCTCGTGCCCTGTGGCTGTGCACGATAATGCCGACGTAGTCGTTGTTTCTTTTTTCGAGCAGACGAGGAGTCGAGGGCTTGGTGAAGGAGTGACGACTTGGTGACGAAGCAAGCGAATATGTTGCAATTAACGGGCCCAGCCAATAGCAAACAACATTCTTTCGTCTAAAAGTGATTTAGACGGCATGATACTTGAGGGTATCTCATACTTAAGGAACCACATATCATGTACTTTTCTTTATGAAGACCCCGTTTAGCTCCATAGGCCTTGATGAAAATGGACGTTACGACTTATAATATCGACGATCTGCAAAGACTTCCAACAACTTCTCCAGTGGTAACTCTAACCTACCTAGTACGACTTAACTATCATGTGAATGATAGCTGCCGAATCTTGAGCCCACTCCTGCATGGCACGCGTGCTCTTTTCTGCGCTATATCAAGATCTGTCACTTGCGGCGGCGGACTTTGGATGCCCGCTATGATTTCTTTTCCCTTTGCACTTCCCCCCCCCCCGGCCCAGATACTAGAGGAAAAGAAAATTGACCCTCACATTCGCCTTACATCTCACAAACTGAACTCCGGGTAGGGTGGCTGGATTAAGATGATGGGCTTGGTCCTGCAGCCGTCCGTGGACAGAGACATATTGGTGTAAACGGGCACCCGACACGAGGATTTACTGTCAACTCGGGTAGGTTTCTTTACAGCATTGAACCTGTCTGCCTCTTTGTTCCTGTAGAATCCGAAATCTACGAGGTTTCCACCCCTCACGGCCATCTCACATCGTACCAACAGACTGCAAGTGAATAACCGAGTGCGCAGTTGAATTCCAGATCCACTGAACGAGTTAAAACTCCCAGGTCTGACACATCAACTGCATAAGGTGTGACCCGCGGGATTGCAGTCGCCGCCTTATGGCTATTAGGACACGCGCTGGTTGGGCATCCTGCCAGCGAGTATTTCAGGTACGACGTGCAGGTGCCTGCATCTGCATGGTTTCTTCACTGACACTCAACTCGAGAGTATCTGTCCGTTTCTCCGGCCTGCGATCACAGGCGATCAGTCCAATTCAGCAAAAATCTTCGACGTTTACTGCACCATTCAGTGCCTAAGCATTGAAGTCTTTGGGCAAGCGCTGCTATGTTCTTGAGGGCTTTCCTGGTTCCCGGCTAGAAATTGGCTCCCTCCCATGACACCTCACATGTGCCTTCGGCTCAGTAACTGAGTCCGTGACGAGTGTCGTCTCTGGGAAGGTTCAAGCCCGGTTTAAGCCCGGTCATTAAACGTGGTTGCGCCTTACCCTTCAGATAAAGCCCGAGGAGAGCCTGCTCAACGGCAAAACTTCAAACATCTCAATCCTGATCTAGTGACGTCTACAAGTACATGCGGTTATCGCTATCCATGGCCACTATCTGTCGAACCACTAGGAATGACTTCCGTTTACTCCCTTCGCGCAGAAGACCCACAAGGTCACTTCCTATTCCAAGGCTCGGTGACAGCCTGCTCAAAGAGGGATTGATCGCCAACGAAAGGCCAGCCTGTCTTTGAATAACCTCTTTCCTGGGCATCAAGATAGTTTCCAGGGCCTACATCGCCTCGTATTAATTTCTGTGGTTGAAAACACCTCGGATCCCATCAGAGGACAGCTGCTCAGCTACAGTCTGCACACGTCCCCCATGGTTTCCGCCTTTCCTACCATTCTTTGTTTGACAAGCGTTCACGCCAACCAAGCACTCGGGAGCCGGGATGTAGCTGAACTTACACTACGGTGGCGGAGCAATTCTGCAAGAACCGTTCTCCCGGCACCCCTATAAGGGCTACTATGCGTCTTTTCTGTGTTTCAGCTTTTGTCCAGGGGAAGCAGCAACGAGTTATACATACAAGGGTTCGAAAATATCGGAGGAGCCAGAAAGCTAGTAAAGTCGTCTCCTTCGAGAGGGTTGAAGGTAACTGGAATCTCCAGGACGTTGGGAAATGATTCTAGCACGCCCCCCAAGTGATGCCCATCCACGACCCAACACGTTCGATGATCGAGGGGCCTTTTCGGTTTATAACAGGCTGCGCGTGGGGGTTGCAAGACGACAACGGCAAGGCAATGCGCGGCGCTATCCGTGAGGGAATTTCTAATACTAGAGCCATGATGTTCCTGCAGAGTAACCCCGGACAAGACTTCTTGCTAATGCCTATCTGCCGAGTTCCTTTGATGTTCAGCTCAATACCAAGTCATATAACTCCGTCGGTTAGGCAACGGTCGACATCAATGAAGGACTCGGACACCTAATATATTGCATATGGGTAGGCCAAAGGCAGTGAAGTTATTTTGGAGACCCGCGGGGGTGTCCTTTCGTATGCACCGTCAGCTCTAGCCGGAAACTTGTAACACCAAATTAGTTGCAGGATACGATGTAAGTCAACCATATCGACCACAAATACGGGCTTTTTTTGTCTCTTTCGACCCAATAGCCCAGGGATAGGAGGCCTCATGGTCATGCCCTTCCGCTCGGAACCTCCGTGAGGCTATGCTGCTTTTTTAATTATAACTCAAAATAGGTTGCGCTGGCCGAGCTGCGATGTGGTGCCACGTTTCTTGCCCGTGTCAAAATCCTTTCATGAAGGACAGGACGCGCATGAATGAATGGGCTTCACAATATCTCGGTGTGTGCAGCATTGACGCAAGCGATAGATACCTTGGCAAACGACCGGGGACGGACGGAAGGCAAACGAGGACCATGCTGCTGGCTACGCCAGGCCGACCAGAACGCGGATGGTACCCAATGGAAACCTCCCTCTTGGGCATTCACCACCCCACGCTCGACTTCCACGGACGGACAGCAGCGCCTCCATCATCACTATACCTAACTGACCGTGACATTTGGCCAGATGAAAAAATTTTACAGTTTCGGGGTAAGGCACTTACACTTAGGCTCGGCGAGTACTTGGGGGATTTGAGGCGGCCTGCATTGCCACTACGGGATTTCTGCTCTGCAGGATGCAAAACATCAAAGTTACGAGGGGGATTGTTGTACGCCGGGGTGAGAAAGCCTCATATTCTTTTATTATTTTGTATTTCTTTTAATTCGCGCTTCTCGCCTCGCCTGGGATTTGCGCGCTGACGTGTCTTCTGGAAAAAGTGGCACTTCCGCAACGAAGGAACTGAGCACGAGGGGGGTCGCCCAAACCCAACGGATATCGGGCATTGTGGCTTCCGACAAGACCCCGGAGTGGGGATGAAAATACCGAGGCACCGGAATGAGGACGGCAGGAGCAGTTGCGCCGTCGTAAGGTTGGCGGGAAGATTCCGGGGTGCATGGGCCGGGGGGAATGGGGATGCTAATGAGCAGCGCGCAGACATCGCGGAGTAAAAAGAGGGCACTGAGGGGAAACGGCTACACTAGGTCGCTTTCAACAATCGTGGAGTTCCCCAGAGTTTAACTCCACCTGGGTTTGGGGGTGAAAGTCAATTCGACTTTTTCCATGCCGAGACTGTTCAGTAATCCCAAACGCACGGGACCGAAACAATGAAGTCACTGGATCGAGTCAGCATTCCAGTCCTCATCAGGTCGTGGAGGCAAAGGAGAATGGCGGAATTTTAGCACGTGGACCAGGGGCAGTGGGACGTTTTTGGTGGTGGGCATTTGACTCAAAACAGAAGTTGCCTCGGCATCTTGCTCGACATCAGCTTTCGGCTGGATCTGGATCACTGATGAGGCGGGTTGCTCTAGTTATCTCCGCTGACAACCACAGCCCATCACCTCCTCATTTAAAAACCCCCGGCCCTTGAATAATCTCACACCTTGTTCTCACCTCAACCTCACAGATCTTGAGCGAGTAGAGATTGTGACAAACATGCCTTTCGACACCGAGCTGACCCGCCGCCTTGGCATCCAAGGTAATATTGAACACCTCAGTCCCTAGTCCCCTGTCCCCAACTCACCGACTCGCTACACGTGGGACATAATGAGTGGGAAAAAATTATTTGGGAGATGAGCACATGCTAACACGTCAGATAGTGCCTATTGTCCAGGGTGGCATGCAACACGTCGGCACCGCCGACCTTGCATCCGCCGTCTCCAATGCCGGCGCCTTAGGCATCATCACGGCCCTCATCTTCCCCACGCCCGAGGGCCTCCGCGAGGAAATCCGGCGCTGCCGGACCCTCACTAACCGGCCCTTTGGCGTAAACATCACCCTCCTCCCTTCCCTTGTGCCCCCCGACTATGCGGCCTACGCGCGCGTGGTCATCGAGGAAGGCGTCAAGGTCGTCGAGACGGCAGGAAACTCGCCCGGACCCGTGATCAAGCAGCTCAAGGCCGCCGGCATCATCGTGCTGCACAAGTGCACCAGCATCCGGCACGCGCAGAGCGCCGTTAAGCTCGGCGTTGATTTCCTCAGCATCGACGGGTTCGAGTGCGCGGGTCACGTGGGCGAGTCCGACATTACCAACTTCATCCTGCTGAGCCGCGCGAGGCAGACTCTCAAGGTGCCGTTTATCGCCTCGGGAGGTTTCGCTGACGGTCAGGGTCTGGCGGCGGCGTTGTGTCTCGGTGCTAGCGGCATTAACATGGGCACGAGGTTCATGTGCACGGTCGAAGCTCCCGTCCACATTAACATTAAGAAGGAGATCGTCAAGGCGCAGGAGACGGATACGGCGCTTGTGCTGAGGAAGTGGAGGAATACGACGAGGTTGTATAAGAATAAGGTTGTGGAGGAGGCGCTGAAGGTGGAGAGGGAGGCTACCGGGGATAGCTTTGAGCCGATGGCGCCTTTGGTTAGTGGGAAGAGGGGGAAGATGGTGTTTGTTGATGGAGATCCGAACTTTGGCGTGAGTCTTTCGGTTTCCCAATTTCCTGGTTTCTTTTGCCTTTCTCTTTTTTTATCTCCTGGATATTGAACTATTTTGTTTTCCCACGAACGAGCTACTAACACACATTCTCTTAATAGGTCTGGACGGCTGGCCAGGTCATTGGCTTGATTCACGACATCCCCACCTGCAAGGACCTCGTGGCGAGGATCGAGAAGGAGGCCGAGCAGACTCTCAAGGAAAGGTTGGCGTTGATCAAGCCTGCTCCTAAGCTGTAGATGCGCTCCCTCTATTGGCTGTTGGCAGACGTTAACGACCTTACACTGATGTTCTTTTCCCCACTGTTCCTTTTCCAACATCACTATTGGCGGGTCTGGGCAATTCGGCATGTTGGCATAGATGTATTTTTTTTGCATTCGTTGTAGAGATAGCTTCAGCGTTATATCAACTTCGAGTCACTTGATGGTTCTCAAACATCACACTAGGCTCTGTACGGTTTTGTGCTACAGGTTGATTGATGCACTATTCTACTCTAGACAATGGTTCCAGACGACGACTCTTACCGCCCCGTTGAACTCCGTTCTAATGCCTGAAATCTGGCGTAACTAATATTCCATTACCCTTCGGACTCCATCGTATATCCCTAGAAGGCGGAGTTAGTACATCTCAATTTGAGCGAAAAGGAAGAAAGAAAATCAAGGACTTACTCGCAACATCCGGGAAGTTAAACTTTTCAAACATCAACGGCGTGGGAATACTCCACCCCGCAATCCTCGTAACCGGAGCCTCGAGCCTCACGAAAGTCTTCTCATCCTCCTGAATCGCAGCCGCCACCTCAGCACCAACGCCAGCATTCACCATGGACTCATGCACGACGATACACCTTCCGGTCTTGCGCACGCTATTAAGCACACACTCCTTATCCCAAGGATAAATGGTCCTCAGATCAATAAGCTCGACAGACACGCCAAAGTCCTTCTCAGCGCGCTCAATGGCCGCCATACAGTTGTAGAGCGGCTGACCGTACGAAATCATCGTGACGTGCTCGCCAGGCTTGAGAATCTCCGCCTTGGAGAGGGGAAGCTCGTAGTCCTCGGTGGGGACCTGCTCGGCGGCAGCGCGGTAGAGGATCTTAGGCTCCATGAAGATGCAGGGGTCGTTGCTGCGGATGGCGGCGAGCAAGAGGCCCTTTGCCTGCAGCGGCGACCGCGGCATAATCACCCTCAAACCAGGAATGTGCGTGAACAAGCTCTCAGGACTCTGAGAATGATACAGCGCGCCGTGGCCGACACCGCCACAGGGCATCCTCACCGTCAACCCACCCGCGCTCCTCCCCGTCTTGCCCTCCCTGTACCTCATCTTAGCAGCCTCGTTAACGATCTGATCAAACGCTGGAAAGACATAATCAGCGAACTGGATCTCCGCAACGGGACGCATGCCCTCCGCCGCAGCGCCGATAGCGAAGCCCATAATACCCTGCTCGGTGAGCGGGGTGTTGAAGACGCGCTCAGCGCCGTAGGACTCGGCCAGGTTCATGGAGCAGCGGAAGACGCCGCCAAAGGCGACGTCCTCGCCGAACACGAGGACGGATTCGTCGGAGGCTAGGGCGGTGGAGAGGGCGTCGTTTATGGCCTGGAAGAGGTTCATCTTCTGGGTGGTGCTGTTGCGGACGTGGGCGGGGAGGTCCGGGGTTGCGAGGGCGGTTTGGGAGGTGTGTGAGAGGAGGGGGGTCGTGGAGTAGTCGACTGGGAGGTTGAGTTTGGCATTGGGCGGGTGGGTTGAGTACAGCCGGAGGGAGGAGGTGGTGGTGATGGGGACGCTGCTAGTACGGGTGAGGAGGGCGGGTCGCCTCGCCGTGCGGGCGAGGTGGTGTATACACTTCGACTTCATGATGTGTGGTGGTGGCGGGTTTGCGGGAACAGAGACAGAGAGATAGAGAGGCCAATTGGATTTATCTGGGGATGAAACTCAAAGATTGGATTAAAGCTACGAAGGGAGGAAAGAACAATGAAATCCTTCTTTTCAAAAAAAAGAAATCTCCTCCCCGCGGTTCCTGGAGGGCGGGACACCCCGAATAGACTAAGTCGACGGAGTACAGCGGCATAGCGATGTTAGTGATGTCAAGATTGCTCGGCTTGTCACGGCGTACGGGACAATTGGCCGTGCCTTGTCAGGCCGATCGAATTCGGGGGTCTGCAACCACTTTAAGCCGAAGGTTCGGTTGCCGGGCCAACTTCCGAGCCTCGATTTGGCCATGGGGAAAACACGTAATTTGTTAGCCAAGCGCGGGTCTGTGCCAGCTGAAATGAGGGCCAAGAGCTTGGGAAAAAAGATGGATAATGGTTGTGTGCGGAAAAGACTCATGCTTCAACAAAGTTGACGAAATTCACGAAATTGACAAAAATCGGATTGCTTTGAGCGATAAATGATTACGGCGGGATTTTTTACAGCGTGGTTTTGCGACATTGTTTGAAACGGTTTCTTCTTCTGCGATCTGGTGTCGATGTCTTGGATCTGGACCTCCGGACGGTCATCACGGAAAAAAAGAGACTCTGGATCCCACAACGATTTTATGAGGAGAGTCTGAGGGGGCTTTGAGGGATTCTATCGGCCATGGCGCCGGAAGGCGATTCGCCGCGGCGCGCACGACGACATCGAGATCGAACACGCGAGAGGGAAAGCGATCGAGAGCGCGACAGGGAAAGGGAAAGGGATAGAGACAGGAACCGAGACCGCGAACGAGATCTGGAACGGCAAAGGAGGAGGGATCGGACAAGAGAAAGAAATGCGGAAGCCGGGACAGACCGGGCTAGAGATCGACAGCGGGAACGCGAACGAGAACGAGAGCGAGAACGAGAACGAGAACGAGAAGCTAGACGCCAGCGAAGGAGATCCTCTGCACGTCCGCCTTCATCGCGACCCCGTTCCGAAGAATACGAAACCCACAACGACAACAATCGAAATAGCAGACACGAGAGGAGACAGAGCCGAACGAGCGGACCGACATTATCAGCTGAAGCGATAGCCAGAATCGAGAGGGATCAGAGGAGAAGCGCGCAGAGGCGGTCGAGACAGGCGCGGATACCGCGGGAGGAATACGTGGAGGTTCAGGAGGAGAAGCCCCGAAAGAACAACAATAAGAAGGACAAGCGGAAGAAGAAGAGGGTTGTGAGTGGTGCTGTGCTTGAGGAGGGGAGGGGGAAGGGATATGCTGGTGTACGGGGGAGTGCGGGGACGGATGATAGCTTGCTCAAGGAATATAGGTATCAGCAGCCGAAGTGGTGGAAGAGGAGGAAAATATGTAAGACTCTACTTCTTTCTTTTTCCCCCTCTCTCTTCGGTTGTATCAATCTCCTGGGAAAAGCTCGCTAACTCGCAAATTAGGGATGTTTATTGGCGGTGGAGTCCTCGCCCTCATCCTCATCATCGTCATCGCCGTTGTCGCCAGCAAGAAGAAAAAGTCGGGCGACTCCGACTCCAGCTCCGGACCATCAACGTCGGGCTTGGATGGCAAGGACCGCAACAGCATTCCCGTCGAGTATCAAGGCACCGACTTAGACCCCTGGTCCTGGGCCGACACGAACGACTTCAACGTCACTTTCACCACCGAGACCGTCGGCGGGCTCCCCGTAATGGGTCTCTTCAGCTCATGGGACGACTCCAAGGCCCCCAACGGCAAAGTCCCCGCCCTCAACAAACCCTGGGGCTCCTACACCGACCGACCCGCCCGCGGAGTCAACCTAGGCGGCTGGTTAAGTCTCGAGCCGTTCATTGCGCCGTCCATGTTCGATTACGATAGCCGACTCGGCATCGTCGACGAGTACACGCTCTGCGAACACCTGGGCGACAAGGCGAAAGAGACGCTCGAGAGACACTACGCTTCGTTTGTGACGGAATCGACGTTCAAGGAGATTGCCGATGCAGGGCTGGACCACGTTAGGATTCCCTTTTCGTACTGGGCCGTCGAGGTGTACGATGGCGATCCCTACGTATTCCGCACGTCGTGGAGATATCTCCTCCGCGCCATCGAGTGGGCGAGGAAATACGGCCTCAGAATTAACCTCGATTTACACGGCCTACCGGGGAGCCAGAACGGCTGGAACCATAGCGGGAGACTAGGGGCGATAGGTTGGCTCAACGGCCCTGATGGCCAGAAGAACGCCCAGCGCTCCCTCGACATCCACGACAAGCTATCTAAATTCTTCGCGCAAGACCGCTACAAAAACATCATCTCGCACTACGGGCTCGCCAACGAGCCGAAAATGACGGCTCTAGATCCCGAGGCGGTAATTTCCTGGACTTCCGACGCTTACAAACTAATCCGCGACAACGGCGTCTCAGCCGTCATCGTCTTCGGCGACGGCTTCATGGGGCTAGGAAAATGGAAAGGCCGACTGACGGGTCTAAAAGACCTCGCACTCGACGTCCACCAATACGTCATCTTCAACAAGAACCAAATCGTCTTCACGCACAAAGAAAAGATCCAATACGCCTGCCAAGGGTGGACGAAGCAAGCCCTCGAAAGCATGGACACCTCCACGGGGTTCGGCCCGACGTTATTCGCCGAATGGTCCCAAGCGGACACGGACTGCGCCAAACACCTAACAAACGTGGGCTGGGGCAACCGGTGGGAGGGCACCTACAACAACGCGGGGGTGGACAAGGACGAGATGGTGACGACGCCGAGGTGTCCGGCGGAGGACGAGACGTGTAGCTGCGCCTCTGCGAACGCGGCGGCGAGCCAATACTCGGATGGGTATAGGAAGTTTTTGAAGATGTTTGCCGAGGCGCAGATGCATTCGTTTGAGAAGGGGTGGGGGTGGTGGTATTGGACTTGGAAGACGGAGAGTGCGGTGCAGTGGAGTTACAGAGCGGGATTGGATGCGGGGATATTGCCGGCTAAAGCGTATGACCGGGACTTTGACTGTGATGGAGATGTGCCTGACTTTGGTGACTTGCCCGAGTATTACTAGGAAAAGAGAGGAGTGATGGAGCATCACGGATCGGAGGACGGGGATGTGATGAGGAGGCGGGATTACGTTCTCTTCCGGGGCAAAGGTGGAAATGAGTACGCTACTCATGGGCCGGAGGAACTTGTGTTGGCTGCATCGTTTTCGGCGCTGGGGCATGGGGAGTTGGGAGTTCTTGATTTCAGAGACAGGCAGAAACACCGAGCTGATCTCGGTCAATGCTGAGAGTGCTGGCTGCAACTTGGGCACAAAACGCCAGGCGTCGGCTCGACGACGGACTCGGCTTCTCTGCCCTGTCGCTGTATCTGCTTGTATTAGCAGTGGCTTCTTGTTTTCATGGATCTAGTTGGTATATAGACGGACACCACCATCGATAGAGGCTACGATACCTACACAATGAGAAACGAGGATATATTGTTACGGGTTTTCTGTAGATCTCGGAATATTCTTTTTACTTGAAGGAGCCACTATTTCTTTGGGGTTCTCGAGATGGGCTTTGTCCTCATGTGACGAGAAACACGCCGTCGTGATCGACGCGCTCGTTGACGAGAGTGGTGGCAAGATATCAATATTACGAGCGGCTTCCGGCTTCTCTCCGAGTCAAAACCAATATTTACCGCCGCGCCGACTTATTGGAGATGGATCGGAACGAAGTGGGACGAAGTCAAGAATATCTCCCAAGAGAATAATAAAAGTTAAATTAAAAGGCGCCAAGTTAGTTGTACGTAGTGATGCGATGCTTCCTCGTCCGTGGCTTCGCGGCTCTTCTCGACTCTGATCTCGACCACTACTCACAAGAAGAGCCATTTTAATTCCTGAAAATTAAAAAAAGAATAATTCGGATATGAAAGGGATGGAGAAACAGAGCTGAAAGCGAATGGAGATCTTGTTCGACAACAAAGACCATTTACGAGCTTCACGAGTGAGGATCACTACTCCTTGAATCCGCTCATTACCCTGGCCACTTGAGCGCTCCGGAGTTCGATACCGCCAGGGCATCTATCTGAAAGGGCCACAATCCTACTCGAGCTGCTTGGTTAGAAATTATTTCTCGATTATCGCTTACACGACCTAAACAGTCGAATCGCAGATGGTTCTGCGCACGAGCAGAGCTCCTTTTTTTCCCCCATCCTTTACCCATCCTTCTTCGATGTAGGACTCGAACTCGCATGGGCCTCCTGAAAAAGGTAAAATAGGCTTCTCGGCACTCGCTTTCACTTTTAGAACGGCAAGAAGAGGCTCGTGGAGCAATGGCATAAATGTAACCCATGTTCAACATGGAACAAGGGAAGGACGAGGCGCCCTGGATCGGACGGCAGTGATAGACCAATACGACGTTTGTGCTTCGGTGATATGGCAGCTTTGGAGAAGAGCATCAGGTTTCAGACGGGATCAGGCACTCTTGGGAGCGCAGGTTGGACACGGGAATAGGCAAGATATGGACACAGCTCATTGAGGTTACTCGAGGGCCCCGTACCGAATCCAATAAGGTGGCTTCGGGGGCGTGGGAATGAGCAGCGAGATGCGGTGCTGATTGGCCGGGCTTGAGGTGATATCTTTTTGCTCCCGCTCCCTCCCTTTGTTCTTGTGCGCTCCTCGCTGCTTCGTCACTCGTCGGGGCTTTTCCGCTCTATTGGGAACAGAGAGTGTTTCGGAGGGTGTCATGGGAAGCGCACCCCGAGATGGATGGGCGGACCGTTAGTAGGTGCGGGCATCATGGGCGGAGCGGACGAGAGCTGAGAGGCTATTCAGACTCAAGCTTGGCGAGGTGCTCGGCCATATATGATATACCCATGCGAAGCCGAAGTAGAAGATCGCCTGCCTATATCGCATATCATTCACCCATCATATGCTGATCTTTCCATCGCATCTCCAAGACCTTCTTCCCGCCTTGAACCATCCACACACACCATGCACAACCAAGAAGATCGTCGGCTTCACAACATCTGCACATGCCACGGTCCATCAGCCTTAGTCATGAATGAATAAGTCGCACGCCTCCTCTACGTGGGGGAAGAATGGGGGGAGAGGGGAAAAAGGCTCGAAAGCCTCGTTTCTCCAAGAGAGGAGGGCTGTTTATGCAAGCACCCGTCGGTAGGGTGTGCTGTGGACAAGATTCCTGGGAGGGCTTTTCGGTTTTATTTAGCACCTAGATGCATTTTCCAAACTCCATTACGGTTCTCGGCTCTTTGAGGAAGCTTTTTCTTCGAGGTGAGGAGTATAAACGAAACAAAAATGCAGCGTATCGTGTAACACACAAGCGCAATAAGAGGGAAAAAAAAAAGAGTCAAGTGAAGTCATGAAGTCACCCTCTCTTTCGTGCCTTTCTGATCTTCGCATGTCTGCCTCGTCGAGGGCCTTTCGTGAAACATTGGGCTTCCCTGTCGTGTCTATTGAAACTCTCTGCTTGCAGCCGTCCGTCCCGCGAAGCTTTTTTTCCCCAGTGTATCTTCTTTACACCCATCTTTGAGCATGACGTAATAGCAGAGCTTCACGAAGTCACAATGACAAGAGACCATCTCGCGTATGAGTGTATGGACAAAATAGATCAATCCTAAAAGACAAGTCGCCACGAGCTATAGACTCATGTCGTGTCTTCAGCTATGCTCCGCCCCTGGAGTCCTTGCCCTGGCTTGGGATGGGGCCTCCTGCATGCTCCTGGGGAAAGACGCGACTGGTCATCCTGTCATAAAGGATGTGGCTGCAGTAGAACCAATAATAGTACCGATCGTGAAGTCATGAGGAAGGACGAAGGACTTAGCTACAGGACTGGCGTCAATCTAGACATCAGGTGGGAAGATCCAACATTGTCGATAATTCAATATCATCAACATCATCGGATGCAGAGGCAAAACTAATCTTGGCCTGCATAGTCTGGGCCGAGAATAGCAGGAAGAGATTATCACATCTTACTATCTCGAGTTCAATAAAATGCGCGCTTGATTTGATTTATGGACGCCTCTTAACTCCGTCCGTATTTGAAGGGGGTGTGCAGGTGTGCCAGCACATATCAATTCGATGGGTGCAGCATTCCTTGGTGTTTCAATTCCCCCCTACTAGTACGACATAGATAAAAGGAGACCCTGATTCGGCGGACGAGGTTACTTCAATGGATGTTGGCCCGTCTTGCACAGCTGGAATGGCAAATGCGTACCTGAGACGGGGGCAAGAACAGGGTCATCTTGATGGCGAGTCGATGGCAAGCTGCATGTCAGTCAGACGATGCGAGCATGCTGCGTACACTACGGAGTAAAACTACGAAGTTCAAATCCAATTGGGCTTGAAAAGGGGAGACTGGCGCAGGGCCAAAGACGAGTGCCAAGAAGTAGCAAAAAGAAGTACGGAAGTACTTTCGAGGCAGCTCTGATCAAGAGTTCGTCTTCGCTTTTGAGGGGGAAGCGGGAACCGCTGGTCTAAGCCGAGGTAGAGGAGGAGTGGGGACGAATGGAGAAGCCTGTGGAGGGTTTGGGTGGACTGGACTGTGGACGCGACGAGTGACAATGGATCATCTCGACAGATGGAGTTGCTCAACTGGGTACAGTTACCAGGAGGAGAGAGACATTGATGGACATGGGGACATAGGGACATGGGGGACAAAGGAACTTGGGGGCCAAGGCAAAAATAGAGATCAGAAAAATTGGGATCATGCATCGGCAGGTATTAAGCCTAGTCCTCGGGAGACGGAAGACGGAAAGCTGTCACACAGCAGGCTGAGGCACAAGTGCCGTGAAAAAGCCTGGTCACGGTAGATGAGATGGCGAATCCCTCAAAAAGGGGGGGAACAAAAAAAAAAATAAAAAAGATAGAAAAAAAAAAAAAAAAGCGACCAGACTGGGATGTGATGTGATATCAATTGAATTAATGCATCAATCGCAGATACCGGCCGGCTCCTTCGCGGTGTACTCCAGAGCAAGCCACTCATTCCTTTCGCACGTTACACGACACGGGCGCGGGCTGAGTGGATACATCCAGGGGAAAAAATAAAAAAAAAACCGAGTCGAAAACATTTGCCAGGTCTGGAAATCGTGAATAATGCTTGAAGATCTAAGTTTCACTGCGGACGCTAGGAGGATGTCGGGTTAAGAAAATCTGGGGTAAGGATCAGGAGGAGGATATCGGGTGAGACCGGGATGTGAAGGCGAAGGGGCGAAGGGCGAGGAGGCATCGAGCCTGGCAAGGGGAGATAGGGATAGGGACAGAGGCGTGGGAGGGCCAGACTCGGGCCAGGCCCTGGATAAACGGTGCGCGTTCTTGGGAGTTTGAAAGACGCTCTATTCCCAATGTGGTGGGAGCAATTGAAGTGTGTAGTTTAGAAGCAAGAAATGGTTTGCATTTTGGGGAACGGAAAAGGTAACCTCATGGGTTCAGAGGTTCATAGGTTCAGCTGGTACTCCGGAAGGAAGGCGAATGCCGAGTGTGATCAAGAAATCCAGGATCCAAAAAAGTGGCGGCGGGAAATGAAGTGCGAGTCCAATGAATCCAATGAATCCATCGGGCGGTCGCGAGCGAAGTGGCAATTGCTACCCCGCATCGCGCTTGCCCTTTGCTCCGGGTCCCGGAAAGCCGTCTCGGGTCTTCAAGTGTCTGAAGTCTGGCTCTCTACACTATCTCCCTCACCACCTCACGATGCGGGCGTCTCACGATGTTAGGGACGTATTACGATCTTAGCACGAAGAGGTTGGTTAATTTTTTTGCTCTGAAACTTCTAGGATCAGGGTTTTCGTTGGCAAAGCTGCTACCGCAAAGTGACCCGTTCTCTCAACAGAGTCGACGTTATTGTTGCATCGCAGCGAGCACTTACATCCATCCACGTAGCGCGTTGAGCCGCCCAGGCATATTTTTACGACTTTTTTTTCTCTGGTTTTTTTCTCTGGTTTTTTTCTCTGGTTTTTTTTTTTTTTTTTTTTTTTTTTTTTTTTTGCTCTGGACCCCAAGGCAGCCAATAAAGATGGGAGAAAGCCAGTCTGAATGAGTACCTCGGGAATGTATCGATTTAATGCCGGGCAGAGCACTTTGTAGACTGAGCTTGACTCCTCACGATGTACGAAGGTATTATCTAGTGAATTGCTTGCTGGGAAAAAGCAGTTCTTGAAGGATCGCCCATAGTTGAGAGTGATGACGACATCATAGGCCCGATCAATTCGCGGCTCGGACATCGAAGACTCGCGGCGTGGTGATAAAAGGGCAAGCTATGGGACACATTCGCAAAGCCTCCAACCTAGCTACCAGGGTCGGTGAGCTTGGCTGAAAGCCACTATCAATATCAGCTCTCTGATTTCGAGCTAGGCAATCTTCAAATTCACTATTCAGTCCTCAAATGGAGCACCTCGATGCGAAAACGAGGGGGATAGCGCCAACCGAATCCACCACGAGGTGTAAGTAATAGTTCGCAAGGGTAATAGTTTCCCAACTTGCTGCCCCGTTTTGTCCTGTTTGCGCCTAGATCGCGTCAGCTAGTCCCATCGAGATGCAAGTCAGCCAGGCAGACGTGAAGGAGCCAAGGAGCCCACACTAACCGACGCCGCCAACGTACGTGCTTCTTGCTTGCTTTAGCAAAGGAGGGTAGCAAGGTACTAGAGTCTGCCACATTGAACCGCCCCTCCTTTCCTGCGGCGATGGAGCTCCAATAAACTCGGCTATGGCTGTTGGGAGCGAGCGGGGCAGTTTTGCTGATTTGAACATTGAAAGCCCCTCCCGCTGCGAGCCTCAGAAGAGGCACACGGGTTCGGCACAACGCCCGCGCGTCGCAGACCATCCAAGCATTGGGATTGGATCCGAGGACCCGGAGCAAATGGGCGGTGAAAGTTTGGTTCGTCCGCCCTTTCCTCAGTTCAGGGACAGGACCCTGAATACTTGTACAGGACGGGTAGGCATACATGGTTCGATAAATCTCCTAGTGATGCGGAGGAATAGTTATTTTTTTGGATTAATTTACTCCTGCATACGAGGATAGCTCATGTGCTTTACTGCTTTTTATGCTCTCTCACATACTGTTTCCCCTGGATTGGATTTCTCATGTCATTTTGATGGAAATGCTGCGACAAGAGTGACAAGCGTGTGGAGAGCTCTCTGCTCGAGGAGACACTAACACAGCCAGCTGGCTAGGCAGGTACGAGACTACTGGCCCACGATACGACTGTACTTCGTCCTTCGTACCTTCAGAGGGGAGTCATCCAGCGATCACGAACCCTTGTAAAAACCCTTATTGGACCGTGCACAGCGTGCGGCAGGGAGGGGCTGATGGCTGATGGAGAGGTGAGAGGGAACAATTTCAAAGCCGCACATGGGGACTTTGATGAACAAGGAGCACGCGACAACGAACATGTGTGTCGCAATTGGCCAGAGAGAAGAGCATAAGTCTTGCAAATAAACACCTCATGGGGAGTGAGGAAGCTCAACATTTATTTGTGAAATCCTGCCGCGTATAGGCGTGTTCAATTCCGAGTCCAAAGAGGGACATCTTTTTTCAATCTTTTTTTGTCTGCTCTTTTTTTTTTTTTTTCTCTTTGCGATTGCGAGACCTTCACGGCAATCCTTGCTTAGCCCCACGAGTCGGTCAAGTCTGACCGGCGCACTGACGAAAGCAGTGGCCCTTGGTGGGCCCAAACGATGGAGCTTTACCTGCATTAAATCCCATTAAATCCAAGTAATCCAGCTCCAACAGTTGAGAAAAACCGTTTCCTCCTCACCGAAACGCGGCTAAGGTGCTCGACATGAAGGGCTCAGCGAGTACCGAGTACCCGAGGTTGAGGTATCTCTTACGAGTGCAGTATCCGCTTTTGCACTCTTGGAATCCATTCGAATCTCTGTACCGTGTGCTTTACCAATTCAGTACGGGGTACCTGTTGGTGGGCACGTTCCAAAGGCTAGCTTCGGCCCCATTGCGAACGGATCGAAAGCTGACCGAGGCTGAGCAGCCAATAGTTCGCCGTGTAATCTAGGCCGCAAGGTACTTGAGAGCAGAACTGTTAACCAGCAGGGTGTAAGAGTCTCTTGAAAATTATTTGAACCCCGCAATCATAAAACCGATACGAGGGTCAGGTATGAAATATGAAACGGTGGCTGAATCCAGTATTAAATGACGGTGAGCGATGTCACAAGGGAATCCCAGTTTTCCCGAGTCCCCTAAAACCCCAGAAACGGCAACGGAATATGTAACCAACGCCCCAGGTCCTTCCTTTCCTTGTGAAGTCCCCGTCCCCAAGGCTCCGATTTTGTTCCCACCGCCCTCCGCTGAAGCGAACATTTGAAGCGGGTACTTGTAGTACATGTAAGTACCTTGTTCCCCCATCCAAGGCAGTCCCAGTATTTTCACTGCTTGTGTCGCTCTTGCCTGCAAATTTCTTTTGCCTCTGCTGTTTGCCTCTGCTGTTTGCCTCTTGCCTCCTTCGCTTCTTCAACTCTGACGAACTTGCGATCTTCCAAACAAACAGGTCCTCTGCTTCGTGCACTTTCTCGCGTTTCTCTTCCAAAGGCCTGCATTTGTGATTCTCTGCCTTCGCCCAGCCTGCTGTCTCGATAACCGATCAGACTAATCTTGTTATCTGCACCAACCTGTACTTCGCTTCAGCCACCGGGGCACAAAACCGATACCTCCCCTCCCCCCCTTCCTCGGCCCAATAAGATAGACAACCAATTGACCCTCGATCGCCAATCCACACCCATATCTCGCCGTGTTCTTGCTCTTGCCGATCGCTCTCGTCTTATTGTTTCTGAAGCCCATAAAGTATGCACACCGGGTAGTTGCAGAATCCCGTCCATTCCTCATTCCTCTCTCTCCCTCTTGCTCTGGTCGTCGCTCCAGACCTGACCTGGGAATTCCAGAACCTAGGTTCAATAATACGCTTCCTCGACGCCGCGTTTTTGTCTCGCTGAACGCGCTGCTTCGCCTGCACTCTTGACGGGATTCTTGCGCGATTCGACTCTTCCACTCTTCCAGGGACCACTCAATCTCGATCTCCACCCACCCCCTTCCCGCCCTTTCGCTCTTTGCGCCGTGACGACTTCGCCTGCCGAACAAGTGTGCTACCTACTCCTCAGGTCTTCTTACCCACGGTTCTTCACACACGTCGACCAACAGCTACTGCTGCTGCACCTCTATTTGCGAAGCAGGATACCACGGCTTCCTTTCTCCTCCGATCTGGACGAGATAGTGCTCGGGCCGTGTCTCGCGCCGACTTGGTGATACGAAATACCGCTCTGTTCTGACCTCTTCTGCTCTCCTCGGGGCAGCCATTTTCCGGCACGACATTCCTCGATTCTTCGTCCCACTAAGCGACACGAAACTGGCTGTTTCTCTACGGGCTCCCTCCACCTCTGACATCTCTCCAGACCCGCGTCGGATACCGTGGACCGTGGACAATACCCAACAAGGCCTCTCTCGGGAAATACTGGCACTTCTGGTGCAGTTGAGAGGCTATGGTTGTTACCAATGGCGCACAACAAGTTATAACCCCCATTCGACATCCTCAAGAAAACCCAACGCTTGTGCTCTAGCCGTCACATAAACCATCACCCCCTTGGGCAGCCTGTGACACGATCGTTGGAATCCTCTCCATCCTATCACTTCTTCCCCTTGCGCCTTCGTCACAGTCACAGCAGCCTTCTTTTTAACTGGCTGCTACGCTAATCATACTTCTTTGCCTCTTGCTGCCTCCTCCACGCCACTCAAACCACCTCTTCTGTTGAGAAGCCGTATTTGGCGCTATATAGTGTTTCGCAAAAGCCTTACGCGATCGACAGGATCACAAGTACCTAGGACAAACTCCCTGGCATTCCAAGGTCAAAAGGTGTGGTTTCGCAACCGGTGCCTTACCCTGCGTGTGAACAACGGCAACCAACCCCTTATGCGCTGGCTCTTATTATTATTATAATTATTACTTTGGAGACCTTGCCTTTGTGCGCCAAACGAGAGACATTTCGACTACGAGACGTCCTGGCACATCCTGGCACGGATCTATAACCCCCACTTCTTTTCATTTAGTCTCTCCTTTCCCTCGCCTTTCTGAGACACCCAGCAATTTTCAAGCGCATATATATATACTCATACAAACAAGACCTAAGACACACCACGATGCCCGCCCCCAACGGTTCAGTCACAATGACTGAGAACGGAGAACAGTACCACAACGGCAAGGATATGGGCCTAGACGCCGACGACAGCAAAATGACTGATCAGAACCACAATTCGGACGTCGTTGTTCAGGTTGAGGAGGTGAAGAAGAAGTATGATCCCAAGGATCCTTTCCGCCCGCGAAGGAAGAAGGCCAGGAGAGCTTGCTATGCTTGTCAGAGGGCTCACTTGACATGCGGTAAGATTGGTCCGGGCCTTATCTTTCCTCTCTCCCCCCATTTCATCTGTGACGTCTAGTGAAGCTACAGCTATCAAAAGCCCCTGACTTACATATCACGCAAAATTGCTCCCATCCCTGTTTCCAAGCCGGAAAGGGAGGGCTCTTCCACATCCATTGACTCTCTCTATTTCCTTCAACCGCTCTTCCCCTACCCGCTGCCCCTCAAACCCATCCTACCTGTCTTCCACCATGCTGCCCCAGCGCCTGAACTTCGGCGGAGGGGTGAAAGTGCGACTAGGCAGTGGAAGAGAGGTGGCTTGAACACCACTAACTACTTTTCTTACGCTCCGTTTAGGCGATGAAAGGCCGTGCCAACGCTGCATCAAGAGAGGTCTCGCGGACGCCTGCCAGGATGGAGTGCGTAAAAAGGCCAAATACCTCCACGACGCGCCCCCGGAAGCGCTGCTTCCCGTGTTGGGCCCCAACTACAACCCAAACTCTCCAAGTACGCGACAGAATGAGCATAACAAGCCTCAAGTGACTCAGGACTCGGAACCAACTTCGGTGGCTGGCAGCAACTTTGCATCCATTCCCGGAACGAACCAGTCCTTCCCGGTTTACTCGACCGTGCAGCCTCCGGTGAGCGGAATGCCCGAGGGTCTGGGTTTCGCCACGCAGACCTCTCCGGTTTCGCCATCGTTCCAGACTCCCCGAACGAGCCAACTCGGCGTCATGGGTCTCAGTAGCATCCCGGATCCCATCGGCATCAGCGCCATCTTCGATCCTAGCAACCCGGCGCTGTTCAACTTTGACCTGGACAATCTGAACTTTGGAAGTCAGTACCCGGCCATGGAGTTTGGAATCCTAGCCCAGATGTCATCAGGAGCTGCCGACGTCAACCCTTCGGATCCGAATATGCACACGCCTCCAACCTCGGGTGTGAACTTTCCTGGAGTGTTTGCTAATAGTAATAATAACCCGCAATATAACGGACCTCTGGCGTACGATGGTTTACCGGATTTTGCGGCTGCCATAGACTCTAATTCCCAGAATTTCGGCCTGCAAGGAACATTGCAGCATGGTCTTCCTCATGCATACGCCATTGCCGCTCAGGCGAACAGTGCAGGTCTTGCTAGCCCGAGCACGGAGACAACGGCGAGCCCACAGACAAACCTGTTTGAGGGCTCCCCGCCGACTGGACATTATGCGCTTCCTGCGGCTGGCCAGAACAACAACTCTGCAGGACAGCAGGCTGCCGCGCCGCACAACAACCAAAGCAAGACGAAGTCGTCCATGACGAAGAGAGGACCGTCGCAGTCGCTGCTCGGCAAGCGTCGGCGCGACTCGTCTTTCATCTACGAGACGGTCAAGGAGCCGTACCCATATACCAATGGCTTCCATAACCTCATCGCCTTCCTTCAGAAGCGGTTCAACCCAAACAAGACGCTGCGAATCGCAAAGTCTCTGGCAAGCATCCGGCCTTCCTTCATCTCGTGCACAAAGACACTCAATCGTCAGGACTTGATCTTCATGGAAAAGTGCTTCCAGCGAACGCTCTTCGAGTACGAAGACTTCATGCAGCACTGTTCCGCACCGACGATCGTCTGCCGCCGAACGGGCGAGGTCGCCGCCGTCAACAAGGAGTTCACCGCCCTGACGGGCTGGACAAAGGATGTCCTGCTTGGCAAGGAGCCCAACCTTAACACCAATACCGGATGCGCAACTACCAACGGCAACTCGTCCCGCGTAGGAATGGCACCCCACCTCCGCCCGACGACGAGCTATGACACCGCCAACGGCGGCGAGAAGAGGCCGCAGCCCGTCTTTATCGCCGAGCTACTGGATGACGACAGCGCCATCGAATTCTACGAAGACTTTGCCGAGCTCGCGTTCGAGAACAGCCGCGGTAAGGTTAATCGCAAATGTCGCCTGCTCAAGTACCGTCCCAGCGCCGAGGGAGGATCATCTTCTTCCGCCGGCACGAACAGCGCGAGCAAAGACGGCCACAGCAACCGCGGCAGCATCCTCAGCGGCAGGGTCGCCACGATTGATGGCGAGCATGGGATCCGTGGGATCGAGAAGGACGGCAAAGTGGATTGCACTTATTGCTGGGTTATTAAGCGGGATGTGTTTGACATTCCGATGCTGATTGTGATGAACGTGAGTGAACCGTTCCAATATGGATGACTTGCACTAACTAACGGTTTGCGATAGTTCTTGCCCTGCTATTACAGGAACCAAGGACCTCGTCAATTGGCTGTCTAGACGCGCAAATTTGTACGTTCGTGTTGTTGATAGATGCGGATTTACTGGGTTACAAAAAAAGGGATCGTGGGAACAAGAAAACAAAGGGAAGAAAGAGAGAATAGCGGCATCGCTTACCCGTTGGAGACGGAAGCCATTTTTATATAATGTTTTTTTTTTTTTATTGTTCACTTGGAATTGGCGTTCTTTCGGACTGGGAAGGTTTTTATCTTTTTTTTCTGGGAGTGGGATACTAAAAACAAAACAGTTCAAGAAAGATGGAAGTAAGGAGCCCTTCATGGGACCTCGTTTGGGAAAATGGTTGGGAGGGATTCGTTGGATTTTCGAGGTTGTCCTTTTTTGTATTGTTGAGGGAGGTTTGTAGTGATTACCCGTTTGAGAGGGCCGGGTTTGGGTCCTGCATTGGCAATATACCCCTTTTGCAGCCACGTTTGAGGATGTCTTTGTGATTTGTGATGCTTTGGACTTCATGATCCAAGGAGTAAGAAGGGACCCGGGGTCATAGAAGTAGATGGTCGAGGGGGGAGGGGGGGCTTATATCATGCGTGGGTGTGAGTCTGTCGTCAACCTAAGTAGATCCGCCAGCTTTGAAGAGATCTACCGTGTCTATCGAAAACTTGCTCGTCTGTCCCTGGAATCGCCCAGGATGGAACAGTGGCAGCATCTTGGGAAGACTTCAAGTCTTAAATTCTTTTCCTCCCTTTTCCTTCAGATAATGTTTGTTTCAAGACCTTGGATAAGGGATAGTGCACACATTCACAACTTACACCCGTAGCCCAGATGCACCCAATTTGAAGGCTATACTACCAGTCTGACCACGAACGCCTCAGCAACCAGCTGTTCTGATGCTATTCACACACATCATCATCCTTCCCGTAACGCCTCCTATATCCACACCCACACACCACCAGCCCAAACTCACGAAAACATACCCATGGGATCATCCTCCTCCTCCTCGCTATCCACAACCCTCTCCGCCTTCTTCACGAAATCCTTTCTACAAAGCGGACAACACCCCTTACTCTGCAACCAAGGCCCCACACACTCCAAATCAAACCGATGACTCTTATGACAAGGCAGCTCCACGACCAAGCAATACTTGTCATCCAAAAAGCTCTCGGCGCAAATCGGACAAGCGTCCTCCTTACCCAGCCTCTTCCTCGGCACCCTATCCAACCCGTCCAAGAACTCCTGCGACACGCCGCGCACGTCCTCGGGGGGGTCGAGTATATCCTCCTCGAGAGAGGCGATCAGCCGCGTGAGGAAGTCGCGGTTGGCGTCGGAGGGCGCTGTGGTGGCGAGGGTTTCCATTTGTTCTTGGACGAGGCGGAGGAGGCGGGAGATGTCGACGGGGGTTGGGGTGGCGTGGGGGTTGTTGTGGGGGGTGGTGGAGAGGTGGGAGGAGGGGGTTGGGTTGGAGGTTGTGGAGATTTGGTCGAGGAAGGAGTGGAAGGTGGACATGTCGATGCGGCGGGAGGGGTGGGTGGATGGTTTGGGCTTTATGCCGTGTTCGACTTGAAAAGGCGGGAAATGTTAGCTGTTGGATTGTTTTGAAGGGGGAGGGAGAGGGTCGGGAAGGAGGATATTACTCTCGTATTGGGTCGACATGTTAGCGATCGAGGTCGTTCTGCGATGAGGATGGAGAAGAGTGTCGTGATGCCGCAACGTTTGGTGAATTGAGGGGGGAGAGAGAGGACCAAATGTACCGGTTATGGTCGGGAACAAGATGTGAGCGGACGTTAGGTGCGCGGCGGACTTGCGCTTCAGGCAGAGGTGACGTCGCAAGCTTGCGGGAGATGCGAGGAGCTCGAGCTGGAGATCAATTGACCTTGACAATTGGTGTACGTTGACTGTGGATACCTGGAATTGCGGAGGTACCAAAGTACAATTGGACCGAGACCCCGCATCAACCGGTTTGGTGCATTGCTTCAGAAAACGGTATCCTCTCTTATTCAATATTTGTCCGGTCTTAATCCGGATATATCGGTAATGACATGCGAGTCTTGCATTTTGTCGTCAGTTTGATGGTGCCTTTTGGTTTCATAAGTACGTCACCGGAATTAAGACAATTCTCGAACGATATAAAGGTTCCTCGCGATGCCACCTCTCCTCCATCATCGAATCTGTGAGGGTAAAACCTAGCAACGAACAGCATTCTCCCGCAGTTCTGAGGACATCCGTTGAAAAGGAAGAAGATAATAATTTCCAACTCCACCACAAAGAAGCCCTTTCCCTCCCCATCACAATGACAACCGCACTCCTCTTCGGCTCCACCGGCCTCGTCGGCAGCAACATCCTCGAAACCCTCTCCAAACTCGACAGCTTCACCAAAATCTACACAGTCTCCCGCCGTGCCCCCAAGACCCAATCGCCTAAGATCGAACCCATCATCAACACCGACACCGACTCCTGGGTCAAGGCCTTTTCCACCCTCACGCCCTCGGTGCTCATCTCGGCGCTGGGAACGACGCGCGCACAGGCGGGGGGCATCCAGAACCAATGGAAGATCGACCACGATCTCAACGTCGACATCGCGAAGCAGGCCAAGGAACAGGGCATCAAAACGTTCGTGTTCATCTCTAGCGCCGGAACACGGGGCTTCCTGTCTTCGTACCTACCGTATTCCAAGATGAAGATTGGCGTCGAGGACACCATCAAGTCCCTCGGCTTCGACAACGCCATCATCCTAAGACCGGGCGGGATCCTCGGCGAGAGAGAGACGCCGCATGCCGGTGGCCCGCTGTTGAATGCGGCGATTCGCGGGCTGGGCAAGATTAGTTTGGGGCTGCAGGATACGTTTGGGCAGGAGGCGGAGGTTATTGCCAGGGCGGCCGTGCATGCGGCGAAGATTGCGGAGGAGGGGAAGGCGCCGAAGAATCCGTGGGTTTTGGAGGCCAAGGATATTGTGAGGTTGGGGAGGGATGAGTGGAAGAATGTCGAGGCGCCGGCGCCGGCAAAGTAAGAGATGATAGGGGTCGAAAGGGAGAATGAAGTCAAGACGAATTCACTATTATCGGCGACGGGAGGTTTGCGAATTGGCGGCGGCGCGAATGGATGTTTTGAGTCGCGGAAATGGATCACTACTCACTCTAGCCTGACGGGATCGGCTTTATTTATTATTGTATAGGATTTTTCTATTGTCTAATAGTCCGGAGGCTTCGATCATACCGTCGATATCCCAAATGATGATGCCATTCTTATGATGTCTCCCATTCTGCTCTTCTCCCAGTTCACGCGACCACAAGTTAACAACCAAAACCAAGCCGGGTACAAGCCGAGGCAGAACGCCGGTAGAGTCGTATTATTCACACCACTTTCCCCAAACCTCGATGCAAACTTTCTTAGATACAACTTATTCAGAGCTCCTCGAGATTGTGCTTCGTATCAATTGATGGATGCGAGCGTCAGCAGTGTCGCGCGGATCCGGACCGAATAAGATGGAAACCCCGATAAGAATAAGACGCTATTACTGAGGTAGAAATTCGAAATTCGAAATTTTTAATCTAGAACTTGGTTGCGCCTGCCCCGCGATAAGGACCCCACTTCGCCCACTTTGCTTACTTCGACTTTGCGACTCACTCGCGAAGTTCAGAGCCGCGAACTAGATCGATTCATCATCCCCTCACTACGGCTTATCCGATCTCTTAAAAATCCGACCCGGAGTTACCGGCTTATATTCTCTCTCTCGTCGCGCGCAAGGCATCGTGTAATCATCGCTGGCTTCTCTACTTTGCGACAGGATTTCTACATATAATCTCTAAACTGTCCCTCCCCGATAGCGGCCCGCCTTGAGACAAGACCCTTGCAAGACGACCCCGCGACTCTACTCCAACTCACTATGGCTACGCCAGGACGGCCTCTGATAGTGGGCAATGACGATGGCCCGGAAGCACCCTTTCCATACCAGATGGAGGGTAAGATCACAACGGGATTCCAGCGTGGTTCAACTCTTGTACGTTCATTCCGTATTTCCTTCTCAACTCTGTATTGCTCTCTTCCCCTGTCACGACCGGTCCTACCCTGTTCACTCGTTAAGTTCTGACTCTGCTTGTCCACTAACACCCTTCCCAGATCGGCTTCCCCACTGCCAATCTCCCCATAAACCTCACCCGAACCCCCTGGATAAATACAATCCCAACAGGCGTCTACTATGGCTGGTCCGCCCTCCGTCTCCCCCCTTCCCATGCTGACTACCCCTTCTCTTCCTCCGCTTCATCTCCCCCTTCCTCACCTTATGCTCTCTATCCGATGGTCATGTCCATAGGATACAACCCGTACTTCAAAAACACCGTCCGCACGGCAGAAGTCCACATCCTGCACAAGTTCGAGCAGAACTTCTACGGAGAACCCCTACGACTGTTGATATTGGGGTATATTCGGCCCGAAAAGGATTACCCGTCGCTGGAGGCCCTGATTGAGGATATTCGGTTCGATACCAAGGTGGCGAGCGAGAGTTTGAAGAGGAGGGCGTGGGCGCCGAAGGGGGTTGAGGTTGTTGGGGGGTGGGAGGGGGGTGAGTTGGATGTGCAGTGGTTGGTGAGGGAGGAGGAGGATTATGACGAGGTTGAGGTGAATGGCGTGGAGGTGAACGGAGTGGACGGTGAGAAGAAGATTGAGGAGAACGATGACGCAAAGAAGGAGTAGGTCTTACTTGGGCTTGGAGTTCAGGGGCTGAATGTCACTCACGTTACATGATAGATAAAAGTTGAGGCGACATATATATTTATTTTGAAGCCAAGCCTGCCAGACCCTACCCTATGAGACTCCACCTTACGCCCTAGCAAGCCGCCAGGCATGCCCTGAGAGGTAGCCCCCTTAGCTCTGCTCACTGGCTTGCCAAGTCCGCCGATATGCTGTCGCACGGGGTTTTCGTTTCCATCGCCATTTGCTCGAATTGGGTGCCCTGTCGCTCGCAGTTGTTGTTTGTCGGGTGGTCGCCAGCTCAGCTCCCGAGATTTTCTTTGGTGCGGTGGTCAAGTCGTCAGATCTGTTGCCGACCGTCAAGAGGCCGTCCTCCAAGGAATGGCCCAAGCTCTGATTCTACGCAACGAACCTGCATGTAATTACTTCTGCTCTTCTGGGGAGTGCTTGGCGCTGGAAGTCGTTGTCTTGGACCTTGAAGTCTCATGCCTTGGCGGCTATAGAGCTTGAAAAGGGGAGTGTCCGTCCCGAGTCTTCTATTTATAGATTTTATCCATCGGATCCAGGATCATATCCGGCTCATTGCTGCTTCGGTGCAGATTCAATGTTGTTGTTACTTCTCAATTCTTATACCTTCCTTCATGTGTAGTCCATCATCTGTGATCTTGCCAACATTGGGACTAAACCCGCTATTCCTTGCAAGGAACAATATCAAGTTCAGCTCGCTACTCCGGTTTTTTTCCAGGCTCTCCTCAGGTTTTCTCCCAGACTCACAAGATGTTATATACAATTGTTCCACGTTAGAAAACCTGGATATCATGTGGCAAGCCTCCTCAAGGGCACCGTCCAAGACCCCGCGCCTGCGGATGGTTACCAGGTTTGCTCCACGCTTGTCGATTCTGCGTTACTTTTATATTTTGCACTTCTAGCCAGTCCTAAGGAAAAAGGTAGGCAGAAGAACAGAGGAAAAGCCACCGGACACAAGATGACGTCTTTCATATACGGGGTGTGACTCATATGAGGTGCGCGAGTCCTCGGCTGCTTCAATTTTCTCCTTTAAGAAGACAGTTTCCAGAAATCGAGCCCACGAGAGGGTATATAAAGCGGATCACATTCCTGTAGTAGTTGTCAATCAACTACTCGAAGTGTTTATAGTCTTGGGGGCTCCCTGAGCCCGTTTTCCCTTTCCTTGCGGAGCTTGAGAGGGGAGGAATCGGAGCAGGAGCGTCAACGTCCTCGTTTGACAAGGCACCATCGCCCCCAGAACCGCCCGTGTCCGGGGCCCTCTGCAAATATATCGCTAATACTTGATTCAGATATCTGAACTGATGTTTCAGGCCACTCAGGTGTTGTTTTGATGGGCCTTGTTTTACTTCGGATAGCCTCGACACAGCAAAATATATATTCCCGGAGGGGGCTTGGCGACTGACTGCCGGGCCTGCACCTGGCACCGTGATCCCGCCATTTTGCAGTTGCCGCAGGCGCCATCGAAGTGGTCGGGAAAGCGGATGCAGCAGGGGAATGGACTCTTGAAGCCATCGACGGGGGAGCGAAGCCTCTGGCACTCACGGCAGGCCGGGCGGACGTCGACGCCCCTGGATTGGATGAGCAGGGCGTTGATGTAGCTTGGCCTGTTCGAGAACACCTGCTGGGCGTTAATGGCGCCTCGAACGACGAGGACATTCTGCCCGAAGCTGCGCTGCCAGCAATGAAGGCTTTGATTTCTGCCGGAAGATTGCTATATACGTCGAGACCGTCCTCATCCGCGAACATCGGGAGGACTGGAACATGTATATAGAGAACAGCGCCTTAACCTTCACCGCAGGTGTCCTGCTGCTCGCCGGGACTCGTGTGACGGTGCTGAGCTAGCTATATATCCCTTGCACGGAGAGTCCGACGCAATACCCGATCGCTACACTTGTACCCTATACCGGCTCAAAGAGATTGCAGGCACTCCGGAACAGATGCTCATCTCGACGCCGCTCAACTTGCTCTTCTAGTTGTTGGAACCGTTGCTCGTCTTGATAGTGAAACTCTTCCGACGACGACCTAGTCCTTTCTATCTGTGCCAGGTCCCGGGAGGCTGGTTCCTCTGCGGGTCCTTGCTCGGTTTCCATGGCAGGCCCTCTAGCTCTAGTGTGCCCTTGGCGGCCCCTCTCAACACGCTGCCTTCCATAATGCCGGCAAAAAGGAGTGCTCGCCAAACGCCTCTGGACCCAGCTGAACAAACCTGGAGAAGTGTGCCCATGCTTGATCTAAATTATCAGCCCGGATCCTGGCCACCTCCTCCCTAGGGTTTGAGACGAGGCGTACGATATCCACGAGAACGCCAGAATGCGCGTGTAGTAGCTAGGCATGCAAAGCAGGCCCGAGAGGGTTAGTAGGCAACAGGGGTACACCGGCCGGGAAGGGGAATGGTAGCTTGCCAAACTTGTTAGCGAACGCAGATGGTGTTGCCGGGTTGGGGGGGGGGGGGGGGGGGGGTTGCCTGTGCGGTAGCACTCCCCTAGGTCAGCCCACGTTCCCGCTTCGGGAGAGTCGAGATGGCCGCTTTCATCCTAGGACACAAGCCAGGGCATGAGGGCACGGCGGACTATTGTGGCCGGTCTGGGAGAGCCCTGGGGTTTGAGGGGGGATGATATTCGGAATGTCCCGGCTTTTGCAGGCAGCCACTCGAATGTGTGCCCGAAATATTTCGCATCTTCCGAAGTCCAAGCCCCCTAGCCTTGTAAGTTGTAAATGGGGCCTGCTGATGTAGCACCCTGATCCTTGAGCCTGGCAGCCCACTTATGTAACTTAGCCCTGTTATCCTTATTGAATTCTAGTATCATTTTAGTGCAATTCTTATGGTCTTCGTCATCGAAAATGACTATTCTCTGGATGATATTAAACCCTATACCTGGGTTGGGGTTGCTATGCTTGTTGACTACAGCCTAGGGGTTGCAGTCTAAGTGTCTGAATGTGGCGGGGTCTCCTGGATTTGTATACTTATAATAGTAAGGATATGAAGCCAGGTTCCCTAAATCATCAGGGCGGAGCGCGATGTGTATGATATACAATACTGGATCTGTGCGTATAACTATCTGGGTGGCGCTGTAGAGTGCAGTCAACCCAGCTGGCTACGGCGGCCTCGGTACTTATGCCGCATGTGGTGGCGGAAGCATTCCATCTCTAATTTCAGGAGATCTATGAAGTGCCGACTGTATTCGTTAGGTTCGTAACAATACTGAAATGTGCCGGTGAGCATCAGGTTCCCATTCTCCACCCATTCGTTCCACATCTCTTCGGCAGTAAGGCCGCCAGGCCTGTCCCGCAGTGGTGTGATGAACTGCCTGAGTAGCTCTAGGCCTTGGATGGGAGGGAGGGAATACTGGACTGAGGGGTTGTGATAGATTCCGAGCTTGTTGAAGGTACGGTTGGTGTGGTACGTTGGGGAGAAAGCCGAACCTCGGCCATTCCTGAATGCTTGCTCTTGCCCTGACGTAATGGAGGCGATGTACTGTAGGAGCCCGGCGCTGAGGCTTTGGTTGTTGAGGCTGGTTCGTAGGGTAAAGAAGCGGCAGGCATGCCGCAGGTGCTCATTGCAGAATTGGCGCTTAGCGGCAGCAGGCCGAATGGCCACAGCCGCCGTCCCGTCCTCGAATCGCAATTGCTCAGGGGCGGCCGGTTTCCTTTCCGTTTCTCCTCTATATCCGGTTATACTCCATCTGGCTTTAATCCTTGTCTTTTCATATTCCTCGCGCCGTCAAAGGACTCCTCCCTCCATAGCCGTCGTCTGCAGGAAGACTCTTTGTAAAAGAGATCGCTGTCTCCTCATTCAGGATGCACAATCTCTTCCTACTGACGAACTTTATGAAAAGGATTCCAACTTAGAACCGCTCTATACAGTTCCCCAGGAAAGAGGCTTCCAGACCGTCGTCCCAAGGGGGGGGACCGCTGACAATGATGCGCGTAGAGCCAGCAGGTGTCTTCGAATAAGCCGGTCCTCGAGTGTATCCTTGCTGTCTATATCCGGGCCGTCGATGGAGGCTTCGATTTCCAGCGGAAGATATATAGATATACTGCTGCTATAGAAGTCGGGACCGCCGTGCTCGCGAATATCCGGAGGACCACGGGCTTCTTCTGCTTTGTATGGAGAGCCCGAAGCAGTACCTGTTCACTGTGATTGCTCCTTATGCCCGCTTCAAGAATGGCTGAGAGGCTGGAACGCGACGACACAGACCGGGAGCGCTGGGCCGCAAATGTGCTGGTGTGGACGGGTGGATCCTTGGTCAAAGGGACGACAGTGGAACTCGAGAAAACAGATCCGGGCTGGGTCGGAGCAGCAGAATATAAAATCGAACGAGTCAATGGAGAACCCAAGATACGGACCCCACGAAGGACAAGGGACAGAAGCCTATTTTCTTCAGGTTCCAGACTGCCCGTCAACTCCACCGTCCATAAACCTCAGGCCTACTCTCACCTCACCCGGGAACTATCTCGTTTTCTAGGAAGATGTTCCAAAGACGAGTCAGTCATGGCTTGGTAGATATCTAAAATGACCCTCGAGGGTCATAGATCGCCTCCGGTTATGGAAGTTTCTCGGTTGTATTTATATGTGTTAGACCCTTTACACTTCTACCTTGTCGGACACTCGCATTGTAACTTCGTCGAAGGTTGGGGCTTCTCACAGTGAGGCCTTCAGCGGTCTTGGGACTGGCGAAGGTATATAATTCCGCGTCGCTGAACTCGGCGCGCGGAAAGGGGAAAGTGCAGGCTTATTCCGATGTGCCTCAAGGCCGTCCTGGACTTGTTGACCATGAAATCCATCCGAAGCCTGTCCTCTAGGCTATCCACCATCCCTTCACCTCCCATCATCACGCCCCTGTCCTTATATAGGAGGGAGCAGCGTCTCTTGCTCGCCCTAGATTTTGCTGATGACCGAGAAATCTATATTACCGGCAAGGCGGCGGCCCGTAGTAGTCGGCAACGGGGTATCTATAGGAGGGGTGCCTCCTCCAGAATCATGCCTTTGGCCACGTTCCTACTAAAGCCAGCGTACGATCTTTCCCAGGTAATGTGCGTTGTCACGCAGATGGCATCCGCAGTCGTAACAATCTTGCGGAGCAGGCCCCGTTCAGGTTGGAATGGGCTTTCACCTGATGCGTCTCCGGGTGTCGACCATGAAATTTCGCCAAAGTCGATCTTACCCCGCACGAACATCCGGACCCTAGTAAACTTGCGGCCCTCCTCGATTTCTTTCTGCAGGTCGGAAAAGGCCTGGACGTCGGCGGCGTGCAAGGTAAGCTCATAGGCCCCCGTATCTGTGGGTAAGAGTGTGGTCGCTCAGTTCGGCTCCGCCAAACGACAGGTTTTCAACACGCAGGCCACGGCCTGGATACCGCATCCTTCTATGGTAAGCCTCCCATACTGGTGTAGAAGGACTTGACATAGTTGAGATGAGAGGGCCGCCCGTGGTGCGCTACGAAGCGGCGGCAGCATCTAGGCTGGCCCATGTGGTTATAGACGGTAGCAGCGGTAGTATTGCCAAGCAACTGGAACGTATATAACTCTGCGAGATAACCGCGTGCGTACATGTATAATCGCGGCTATCTCGAGATTGAAGAACCCAGACCAGGAAGTTAGGAGAGTTGATTCTCCATAAAAGCGCACTCGTATAAAGGCCGTCGTATCTGTGATACTGATTCGGGTGTAACATCGAAATATATAAGACCATGCCTTGCTGGTGAACCTGCGTCCGAATCCCTGCTGGAGACTTCTCAAAAGCAGCACCGTTTTATCTTCTTTTCCCGGTGAGCTCAAATCTAGCCAAGAGGAGTAAGCAATCGATGTTGGACGAAGGTGATATAGGTCTTCCATCCAAGAAAAACTGTATCGGCTTCGTACCTTGGAGAATTTTATGCCATGGTATATAGGCCTCTGCAAATAAATGCACTGTCCACCAACAAAAGTGAGTGTATCTATAAATCCGTCGCCCCAACCCGCAGCAAACCGTTCGCTGCTAGACCAGGGAATTAGAAGATGAGAATGTGGAATCACTCGCCACCTTTTTGAGGTATCCCCCCTGTCCAGTTATAGCTGAAAAGGCCTTCCCTATGGTTGATCAACCGTTCGGCTGGCTGTTGGGGGTCTCCGTCGCCCAGGAAAACAGTAGGAGGGGTGAAAAACGACATCTGGCAGCCCTAGCGTAACAAGGGTTAGACCTGCTGCCACTTCTTCTCCTGGCAGCCATCCCTCCTTCGCTAGCCGCTCGTCTAAGGAATAGAGCTCGTCGATAAGAGTCTGGAATGGTATTCCATGGACGCTTCCAGCCCGAGCCGCTGCCTCAACGTCGGGGTCCAGGGCTAGTTGAGACCGGAGATTTGCCTTTAGTGTTTATCTTGGCGAGACGACGAGAGGTGGAATTTCACTCCGCAGAGTGAAGAGGCCCACCCCGTCAAAGCACTTGACAAGGATTTGTGCCGTAATCGATATCAATACCTGGATGTGCGAGAAGCAGCCGCATACAAGCAGCATGCTTATTCCGAGCTGCCCGTGCCAAAGCACCAGTATCCAAAAGGATCCGATCAGTATACACATTGTTGACCCTCGCGGACAGATACGCAAGGTGATTCTCCACTTCATCGCAAGGCCTGGCAGTGCGCCAATATAAATCAGCCTCATTGACGCCGCAGTGTGGGGTCCTGAGTAAAGCCTGCATAACACCAAAGCGGCCTTGGGATGCAGCAACGGCTAGCGGCGACGCCGCTGAAGCGCGTTCCTGTGGTTTCGCCTCCCCCTTTTTTGAGAAACCTCTCGGTCCACCACAGGCCAAATCGATCTGGTCATCTCACGTACGGGGGGTACGTAGTCTAAGCTTTGCTCGTAAGGTCGGACGAAGTTATATTGATCACACGAAGGTGGCAGATTCCTATTCTTGGTTGCCCCAGTCGCTCTCAAGAAAAGGGGGCCAAACAGTTGAATTTTCCGCATAGCGAAATATATAAAGTGATTTTCGTGGGGTATCTCCCTCGAATAGCATCAAAGACTCTGCTGTGTCCTTGTCTAACAATGCCAGGGGCTGCCCTTCCAGACAGACCAATATGGGTAGTAGCTTTCCCGGAGCGCCTATATATTGAACTCATCTGCGTCGCGCTCTCTCTCCTCAAGGGCCCGCGTTTCAAACTGCCTTGTATCGGCGGGCTTTATATAGCGGAGGAGGGCTAGGTGCTGTGTCGATTTCTTGCAGAGTGCCTCACAGGTAGCTGTGTGCCCTTCAACCCCTAGTTCTCGAAGAGGCGAACCCATTCGCGCGGATCTTCGAGGAGTAGTAGGAATGGGTTCCCATTTGGCATGCTTCCCAGGGATATTTACCGATCGTCCTCCCGTCCTTGCAACAAGATCCAATTGATCCATGGGCTTCTTAACCAAGGGGAACGAACCCGATGAGACTTTTTTCTGCCTCGTCCAATGTTGGCCTGTTGCGAGGTCAGGGTCCACTTATGCTCTTTAAAGCAGCCGAGCGGACCTATACATGTCTCATCCGGGGTGATTCTTTGGCTATATATTAGGCTTAAGTCAAAAAGACGACCGCAGCAGCGACAATGCAGCTTCGTTCGTTGGCACTTTTAGCATCTGCTACACATGATCCTGAGCGAGCATTATGGTGCCAGATTGGAAAGTGATCTAGTCTGACGCCGTCTCCATCTCCTATAAGTGACGACGGGTCTGAAAAGAAATACGAAGACGCCAACGCTCCGTGGGTTAGAAGTAGCAGGGAGGTCTCCAATTCGATAGGGCAACGTATATTTTTGTCCTGAAGCAAGAGGGGAAGCGATGGAGAGCAAACTGCAGGCCGCCACCTTGGGGTTCTAGTGCGGTTGTCTTAGACGAGGAAGCAGAGAAACGACGATTGGGTTGTTCCAGAACTCGACATTCCGGCCCGACTAAATGCCCTTTTGGGCCTGTCCGTGGGCTCGACCTATAAACGAACAGAACCGTCCTGAAAACGTCTCCCATATAGTAAGAGAGAAGTTCAAAGCGGTCGATTCAAATGAGGAGGCTCAAATCGATGGTGGTTGACTGACGAAGAAGGGCCACAGGAGCGCCATATGTTCGCTCGCTTTTCTGGGAACTTTCAGGACAAGTAGGTGCTTGGGGTGGCTGTGGTCTGGTGCGGTCTCGATGTGCTTGTTGTCAGCGGTGTGGATGATGCCGTAGAGCTTGGGGAGCTTGGCGGAGCCCGCGGTGAGTCTATCTAGGTTCTCGCGGAGGAATATGATACCTGGTGAGCCCGGCTCTAGCTGATCTTTAATCTTTAATTCCCTAGGAAGCTTGGGTAGGTGTTGATGAAGTGGTTTGGTGTCAGGATTAGCGTGGAGGGTAGGAAGGTGGGCGGACGGTGGCATGGTCGAGAACCCGCAGTCGGTTTGGGCGGCCGCTATGAAGGCCTTGTTGTCGGCTTCGCTATGCAGCCCAGCCTTGTGCTTGAAACGCTTGGCCAACTTGTGCATGCGCCGTGCGGCGGCTGGAGGTGTGTCGCGGGGGACAAAGGTCGGGTTTACCTTCGGGGTTGTCATGATGGGCTGTCCACTAAACTTGCCATGGCTTGGGCGGCGGAGCATTCCCACCCATCATTCAAGGGAACCGAGCACACCCACCGGATACCGTTCATATCTACTCCCTCCACTCAAATTACAAACCCTGCGCCGGAACTCTCGGTACTCCGCTTCGGGTTCGTCGGCTTCAGTAGGCCACAGCCCTGGTCGTATGTGTTCGGCGTAGCAAACGTTCCAAGCCTCCATTGGCTGTCCCTCAGGCCCCATTGGCTCATTCCGCCAACGAAACATATTGCCATACCAGGGGTCTCTCCACTTTTGCCGTAAGCCTTCCCAGTCCTTTGACTAGTTGCGAGACTGTGCCTTCGTTATTCGTTGGAGTTGTGGCTGCACTCGCGGCGTGCTGTCAGGTCGTCATGCCGTGCTCGCTATACGATACGAACTTACACACCAACAGTTCTTCCCTGGTGGGCAGAGCATCCCCCAGGTCCGCATCGGGGACTGCAACATCTCCCTAGAGCGAGAGATGGCAGGTCCTTGCTAGTCGCACTACCGAGCCGCCGCAAAAGTATGCGCCCATCGGCAATCCCATTGTCTACTTTCCTTAATACAGTCGGCACCTTTGAGTCTCCATCATTTGGCACCCGTTCCACACGTTGCCATTTACGTTGCCATCCACATTAATGGCTCAAGTGCCTAGGCAGTGAAATTCGACCCGACAAAGGTAATGGCGCAGTGCGATACGTTGGTAATATCCTCGTTGCCCTAGCTAGCATTCGGCAACTTCAGGGTCTCATCGCGGAGGCGGTATGGGTTGTAGACGGCCAAGGCCCCAGCAAATAGAGCCAGCGGGGGAGCCGGGGGTTTTGCGGCGACGTCTTCGGACGCGCCGGTTCGTTTTAACTGGATGGTAAAGTAGGAACAGGTACTCGGGCACCTCACGAAGGTGCATTCCTCAGCTTGCAAGCGGGATCTTGTGGCCATGCAGAGGTATGCCATCTCTGGCATAGACCTCTACGTCGTGAACCTGGAGATCTTTGTCGTTTGTAACCACAAAGTAACCATATTGGGTGTTTGTATTCCTATCGCTTGGCACATGCTGAGGCTTGGTTAGATCTCTTCGGACTTCATATTCCACGCCAGATCGGAAAGATTCATGGGCGTCAACCAGCGAGCACACTGTTGGCTCTAGATCTGGAAAGAGAGCCTGCGTTGAATCCTAAGCCAAGCGGACCCTCATTCGAGCCATTGACGGTAGATAAGCGATTTCTCCTTCAGGCAATTGCGGCTATAGTAGATGAATTATCGGTGGCTCAAGGGGCTACCACGGTCCTGTCCTAGGGGTTGCAGGCGCCTAGTGGCAGCAGAGCGACATGCCATCGGCCGAAGTCTTCAACCGTCTTCCGAGTTGGCTGCTTGATCTTTATGACTTCTGTAGATTCAGAGAAGGCAGCGGTCGCCGAGCGCGTTGCGCTGCCAAAATATGTTCTAGGGCAACGGCCGGGGGGTATCCCCCATTTCCCAGCATTCGCAACCTTTTGGCTCCTTTTCTATATTACCATCGATCGTTGCCAGATGTCTAACTGCCAGATCCGTCCCACTTCTGGCATTCGATGCCCTTGAAGCAGTGGGATAGCACGGATTCGTGTATTTGCAGTAGTAAGGATAACTGGCCAAGTTCCACGACCGATGGGTATATAAGTTGTAGTGGATGTACGATTATCTTCCTCGGGGTAGCTTAGCCTTGGAGACTTCCCAATTTTACCAGTGACAGAGCTCATGCAGTACGCCGTCAAAACTCTGTTGCCGGATAGTTCTGCAAGGTGTTTGTGTCGGCGGACGTTGATATGCCTCCGTGTAATATGTTTCCGAATCGAGACATTGGTCGCATCACTATTCTCACGCTCGAGGTCTTGAGGCATATATATCATGTTATGCGCCATGTGTAGAATAAAGACAGCATTGGATGTGGTTTCGAATCTTCCGTTTAGTACGTCTTTCTCTGGGTCCTCGAGTTCCTTTGGAAGTATTCCACTGATGAGGTCCGGGACCACTGCAGATAATATTCGCGTCGTCTGGACGGTGCCCGCCCCACAACTAGTAAAAGAAAAAGACGCGCTTAGGTGAACGGCTTTCAGATCACCCATGAAACGGGCTTTTTGCTTCTCGTGGCGATTCCCAGTAAGAGGGATGCCTCTCCAGCTTCTCGGCTTAACAAGATTATCAGCAGTGGTTCTCCATAGTAGAATATAATCCCAAACTCGCATCCTCGTCCTGGACTAACGCCAGCAGCTTTTCTTGGCTCCCTTTCGTTGAGCAGACACTTCGTAGTACTCAGTTTCCCTTTTTAAAGTGGAGAATAGTGGGACAGCTGGCAGGAAGAGTGCCTATTTCAACTGAAAATATATAAGGTCTTTTTTTCATAGAAGGAAGCAATGAAGAAAACGGGAACCCAAAACGAGCCACCTGGCGAAAGAACAGAGCACAATGGGTCAGAAACTGATAGAACAGCAAAAAGCTGTTGTTCTTGGAAAGAAAACGTCTCCCAAAGAACTATTTCGCTGCCGTTTTGGACAAGAGCAAATGGCGAACGAGGAGGGAAGGAGCACCCTACCACCACAGAGCTGAGACTCTATCGCAGGCATATGGTTTTCTCGGATATGCGCCTCAGATGTCATCATTGGAGCGCTCGTCGCAAACAAACACCCTGGGGGGCTGTGATATAAGTGGCACTGTCCGGAGACAGCAGCTCGTGACGCCCCTCTGGGGCCAAGAGATGAGAGTGCGCGACTCGGACACACCACGCCAAGGCCGAAGTGAGATCCGGAGAGAGCGCAGAAGGCCCTAGGAGAAGGTAATCCGAACGGCTCGTGATCGCAGTGGCAGTCGTCATAATCTCGACCACGCTATCTACAAGTTCGATCACTTCATCGTGGGTGTGATGTTCATCTCTTTTTCGTGGGTTGACACCAGTGCGCCGACGCCAAGCCGGGCCGGAAAATCATCGGGTTGAAATCGGGTGGGGCGCCGGCCCGATTCCGTCAGACGCCAGAGACCTTGGATTCGGTCCGTCCTTCGGTGTGTTCTCCGGGACGCGCTCGGGTCTGCACAGATCACAACTTGACAATTTGATATTTTCGGTTTCGGCAACGCTTAGTCGACTCTCTAGTGACTGGAAGTCTTGCTGGTAGACCCGTTGAGTGAGCAATGGAAGGCCGGCGTCGGGAGGCGGATATTGGTCGGTCTGACAGATGTCCGAAGGTTGTGTGCCGTGTTGAGTTAGTTGGAGCGCATCAGGCGCTAGTGAAACTGTTCTGGGAGAACTTGAGCGAGAAGCCCGGTGATATAAAACCACGCTTTTCGCAATCCTGCTCTCTGGCAGCCATGATATCTTCTTTCGTAGTACTGCGCTTGAGGGGGTTGCTGCTGCTCATCTCGAACAGAGGCGCCCTTCGAATACCATTTGTGAATCTTTTCGTGTCCTTCGCTTTGCCTCCTAGACGAGATGTTTTTTTCAACAGTTGCGTGGGGGTGGATGATTGCGCATTTCTTCACCGAACTGCCCCGCGACGGTTTTCGTCTCTGGTATATCCAGATGTGATGGCATCGTATTATTCACGAACCTCGTCCTTGTCGTTTGTACGAGACCTCGCGATGCAGGCGTCGAAGATGAGTCGGAACCCGGTCCCCCGAGGGTCGTACAGAGCGAGGTTGTATCTTTTCTGCCTCATGCGAATAATACTGGTGGCATTTGCAACTCTGTGTGGAAAATCCATGGACAAGACCTACGAAGTAGTCCTTCTGGTCCCCGCTGTTTTACCCCCGTGAGCGCAATAGCTGGGCAATGTCGGTGTCGAACAAGGGCCTTAGGCGCTTCGTCTGCGGCAAGAGTTCTTGGGAAATGAGAGTGTGATGGCCGGACAGCCGACCTTAAACTTGTTCGCACTCTCATCGGAGATACACCGCAAACGGCTCGCCTTTCATCAGCCAGAAACATGAACATCCTAGTATCGGTATTTCGCTTGGCTTTGCTCTTCAGCAGAACACAGTCCGCACTAAGGCGAAGCGTCGACGCAAACTCCGCGACAGGCAACCACAACGAGGGAAGAATGTACTGGGACTGCCCAGGCACAGTTTCAAAGGCTAGCCGGATTTCCGGCTCCTAACTGGCCAGTTGGGTGTAGGCACGGCCGACAAGAGATGGAAACGACGGCCACCCCACCGCCGCCGTCGAGACGAGCAGCGACGAGCGACCACAGCTTCTCAAAGCTTCCTAGCCGCGATCGGAGTTGTTTTGCCACATCGAACGACAGCGGTATGTTAAAGTCCGTCCTGGGCTCTCTTCCAAAAACCGTAATTCCTCTACTCTGTGCTTCGATACATCTTTAAATGCGTTTAAAATCCGTTTCCTTGATTTATAGATTGGGTTAGACACGAGCGGAACTATCGGTATTAAGAGAAGAAGAGTAGCCATCTGATGCATCCTGCGTACGTGTTCGAGCTGCGAGATGCGGGCGAAGCGCGCAAACGCGTTTTCAGCCCTCCTCTCAACCATTCCCTCCTTCGTCATAACTGTGCGCTCTTCGGATAGTGTCAACACCGTGGGAGGCAGCTGTTAGGGGTCGTCGGCCACTCAGAGTCGTATTCGAGAGGGCCGTCATCGCTCTTGGGAGTGAGTCTAACGGCGGCTGGTATGTTCAGTGATGTCTCCTTGACCGTCATTCTCGTACGCCTCCAGAAGCCATCCGAAGAAGCCATTCCTTATAAGCCTTCCCTCAGAGTGCTTCCAGAAAAGAAATGTGAAAAAACGGTATAGGAAAGGCCGTGCCTTTTGATGTGTTATCATATATCATATATCCTTCTCGTCCCGGGTTCATGCCCGTCCTTGGCCTCAACAATATATAGTCCACGAGGTGTTTTAGTAGTTGGAATAACAGGAGCTTGCCTAGCCTCCAATCTCTCTTGTGTTTGCGTAACCTCAAATTCGATGGAGTGCAGCGTGTGCTTGTTACACCATGGTCCTTGGTCTTTGGGTTCTGAGACGCAATAGCTCCCTGCCGCCGAGTTTTTGCCTTACGAGGTTCAAGGATAGTTTGACGAGCTTGGATTAAAGCAAGGTCCAAGTCTCGCTTCCAATACCAATGGCGATGGAAAAGAGCAAGATCCAAACGCATCCCTTGCTTCAGATATTGCCAGATAGCATGTTCGCAGGGAATCCCACGGGTTCGTATATATACAGCCCACGAACGTCTCCCCATGGCCCCAAAACTCCCCCATGACCCCGTCATCGCCCACGGACATCTTGAAACATAGATGGCTTTCCACTTCGTGGATGACTTCTCAGAGCCTTAGGGCCTCATATAGCCATGATATATCTCCATCGCCAGAGGACGCAAGATTGCAGGCAGGAAAACGTCGAGGAAAAGAACGAAGGAATACCACCGAATGTACTTTAGCCTTTTCGTTGCTTTCCGACGCCGCGACACGTCATATAATCAAATACCATAAGCGTGATAATGAGGGGAATGGAAGGATGCCCAAACTATATTGAAGCTGGTTTCTATAAAGATTGTACGCCGCCCACTCACGCAGCTTCTCTCCGTTCGACTGGCTGAAACCCAGCAGCGTCTTGGTGCAGTTTTTGTGGTCCTCGTCATCGAGGACCACCATGCCCTGGACCATGTTGTATCCCTTCCCCGGCACGGGGTTGCCCGCCTCGTCCATCACGCCCCAAGGTTGCAGTCGATGTGGCGGAACGCGGTGGGATCTCCCGGGTTAGTGTACTTGCAATAGTACGGGTAGCTAGCCAGGTTCCAGGAGTGGTCCGGGCGGAGAGCTACATGCACCACGTACATCACGGGGTCGGCCCGTATGACCATCTGGGCGCTGCTGTACAGCATGGTACGCAACCAGCCAAGCTGGCCTTGCTTTCCCCGGTACATGTGGCGCATATGATGGCGGAAACACCCCATTTCGAGGGTGACGAGGTGTTGGAAATTCTTCCGGGGGTGGACTAAAAGATGGGGAGATGAAAAGATGCGTTATGTGGTATTGCGGATCGAATCCATCTGAGTGATCCGCTATATAATGGCGGATGGTTGTTGCAGGAGGCACTATTGAATGAAACAAAACGTCGTCGGAAGATAATCGCGGATTTTTCTGGTGAGCGCAGGCAACACTAACCCTTCGACTCATGTCCTGAATCAGGTTCTATAACGGCAAGAGCCCTGCGATGGGTCAGCCTCAATCCCGGCACTGATCACAAGACGTCAGACTTGTCCCGTCCCTTTCTCGCTACACGCTACCGTCTCCACTTCCGCAGCGGCCTTCGCTATGAAAAGGGAGTTAGAGGCAATGCGGGCGAAGTCGGTTCCGGAGACCAAATGCGCGATGGCGCTTTTCCAGCGATTGTACCCGAATATAAACACAGCTTCGAAACAGAAAACGATCAGGACCGAGAAGAACCAGAGTGGCAAGCCTGATTGTGTTGCCGTCCTCCGGAGCACATGGCGCAAGCGGGCGCTTCAAGCAGGATGTGTTATATCTGGGCGGGCAGCGGACTCGCTGAGCATCTTACCGCTCGTGCGGTGTGCGGCTATGAAGGAGCGTTCAGGAAATCGAGATCCGAAAGGATTTCCGAGTTAAACGGAAAACAAAGGAGGCCCACAGTGATGAAATATTTGTGGGTGTAATGGGCTCTTCACTTGTGAGTCGTTCTTGGGCAACATCCGGAGACCGCTGAATATATTAAAGCAACAACAAATCATGCCTAGGGACTCTCAATTCGTGAGGGAGAACCCGCATGTAGCTCGTTGAGCAGTGTTGTGAATATATAGCAGCAACAACAAGTTATATCCAAGCACTCGTGGGTCGAGGTCGTTACCGTCTAATGTATAGAGGAACTGGCGCACGCTGTACCAAAAGCGCCATTTCATTACGCTAAGAGTTCGACGTATCTCTGTAATTCCGAGATAGCGCATTCAAAACCTCTCGGACCTCTTACCCGCGGAAGTTCTGCCACAGATACAAGGGCATTCCAGTGAGGTAATGGGTGGCGGCCTCCGGTAAGCATGGGGCGTTTTTGACCGGGAGTTCTGTATTATGCAGATATCCCGGTCTCCTCGATGTGACTGTTCGCGCCCTCCCCACCCGAGCTGAGGGCCGAGAAGGGAGTCGCAACCCTGCAGGTGTTAAAGTCCTTGGGCCAGGCCAAACAGCCGGATTTCAGCCCAAGAGTCTCATGGAGGCATGCGCACGGAGAACCAGCGGAGGTGAGGAACTCCTTTTTCTGCAAATTGTAGAGGGGAGTAAGAGAAGGCCTCCTCCTCCAGTGACCAACAGCTTCCCTACCGTCCAACTAGCTTGGAGCGGACCGCAGGGCTCTGTGACTTCTAGTAACTTTCCAGAGCCCTCGGAATCGGCATATACAGTTTTGAATGTTCCTGCCAGCGAACCCAAAATGGTTAGGATGCATTGGACACAATCAAAGGCGTTAAAGAGGCGCATGGAGACATGTACTTGAGTCCTTGCCGACCACCAAGACATGGAGCTCTCAGTAGAATTCTGATCCGTCATCGTTCGGACATCAGCTTTAGGGGGCAAGATTGCTTGTGAGTATATACTGCTTGCTTGCTTTTTTTGAGGATCTTCCCAGCACAAAGCAGCAATATGATCCTAAGTGAACTTTGGGTTTAACGACGACCAGTCAAGTACATGCCGCACCAGCATATCCAACACTTTGGCCAAGTGTGACTTCTTGCTCTCAGACTTGGTCACTAGTAACAAGCCACAGGAGTACAGAATTGCTTTCACGCAAAGCTGTTGTGTTTAGCTTTTGAGTTCTTAGAAGAAGGGGGGCAATGTTGATGATTTTTGAGATGCCAGCAGCATAGTAGAGAACAATGATTTCTTCATAGTTGTGCTGGGTGGCAGACCCCAGCTGAGCCTCAACCCATCTAGGATCGTCACCAAGCTCAAAACAACATCGCATTCTCAACAAAGGCCGCCAGCCAGCGAGGTTTTGAACTCCCTCGGGGAGGGGCGGCAAAACAAACGTCAAGTTCAATAGGCCTCATTGGCCTTTAGACTACAGGGAGCTGTGAGACGATTCCGTTTTTCTTTACGGAGACGTACAAAAGCTCGTTTTCCGGTGCGGTTGCGAAATACAGTCTCTGCCGCATTGCCGTAGGCTTCGGATCCACTCAGAGCCGTATTCAATCTCCAGTGAAGCCCTAAAGAGCACGAGGGAGGCCCCAAAAGTCGATGAGTCGGTCGCATCAACTCATAGATGCGACGAGCCGGATTTTGCCTGGGAAGACACCCCGGAGCCTGGCTTCCGCTTAGAGTTGCCTTGCCCATTTCAGCAAGGTTGGTGCTCCTTGTACTCGAGAAAACTCCTTGTACTCGAGAAAAGAGAACCCACTGGCTTTAGGATGCGAAAATCGACCAGCCTTTTGTGTCCGAGCCAGAAAACCGGCTCGTGTTCCAGTGAAACTACAGTATCAGGCCCTTGCAACAGCAGGTCTGCATGTTCTGACATCTCCAGTCACCGCATTGACGAGTAGAAGGCAACCGACCGGCGTTGACAGAGCTGGGACCTTGTTTTCGGGTCCCACCAGAAATTTGATAGGGAAAAGCTTTACCAGGAGCCACAGTCAGGGACTGTCTCTGAAGTGGTTGTGTGAGCTACACAAGTCACGGTAGAGGCTCGAGAAATTTGTTCCCCACCGTCGAGAATTCACCACCAAAAGGCGTGGGAAGACACGACTGAGATGGGCCCTTTTAATGGTCCCTCCAATCTTGAAGCTCGCGGATGGGACACCAAGTTCAACAGATAGGCTGCACGCCGGTCTGCTTCAGCTTTTCATTCTCTGATTTGGCGGTCTATAAGTTGAGCTTATGGATATCCCCAAATCAAGACTCGGTAACGGCCTGCACGGGACTGAGCACCCACCAGGCAACGGCCACGTCGACGAAGCGAGCCGAGATATTAGGCCACTCGACTACCGGGAAACAGAAGAATGTGCCGAAATAAAACAAAATACGAATGAGGTGTTAGCAGGGAGCGATCAAGTGAGTGTTGGTGAGCGTAGAGCTTTTTTTTTTTTGGAAAAAGGGGGGGGGGGGGCGGAGGTTGGTTTGGCTTCTCTCAGCCGTTGCCCATGCGTCATCAACCAGGGACCCCAAGTCCTCTCGAATCACCCCTAGGAATGTAAAACCGCAAGCCGCACTAATCTCATTGTGGGTGCGTTGATCCTGGTTTCCGCAGGGGAGAGTCGCATTCCGGGCACGTAACGGTCCCCGAAAAGGGCACAAGAAGAGCACCTTCCAGAGACTGCCTAATCCGCCAGAGAACCTTTTCCCCCTCGGATTGCCATGTCAGGGTATATATAGTCTGCACCAATTTGATGATTCGCAGTTGGGAAAGGACCACCCATGTTGTGGAGATATGTGATGAGGACGAGATAGAGTATAGAAGCAGCTCGTCCGCTGAGAATGGGCGTGAGGGCTTGGCTAACCTCCCTTGCACTTTGGGATCTTGTCCAGACCACAGTTTCGGCCATCCTCGCGATATTGTGGGACATCTGGCCCTCACCCAGCTGGAGAGGGATCCCATTCCAGCCAGGTAGCCCAGACGACCTTTGGCACATAGGTTCAGCACGAAGACAACATCGGCCGTCGTGATGAACTTTGCAAAGAGGGAAGGTTTGCGGGGAGTAGCAATGTTTCTCGCTGGCCAATCCGGTCCAAAGCGGAAGCCGCGAACTTCAACTGGCCCAAGGACTTTGCTGAAAGCCCCTTATCGGGATTCCATCTCGGGTCGTCGGTTCTGCTTTCTTTCAGATGAATTTTGTTACTTCCAGACCCTATGCCGGTTGCCGCACCTCGTCGAATTCTTCGAGCTTTCGGAGTCTGTTCTTTACCTGGTCCACTGATATCTGCCATGGCATGAGGAGAAGAGGGCGTCCAGCATCCAGAGTCCCATTCTGGCGGGCATCCGCTGGTCCGGGTAGTCTGTTAGAGACTCAGTTCGGGCGTATCCCAGGATATGAGCTGCTCACAACCTCCGATTAGCATTGCCCACTGGTCGCAGACTCTGGAATTCTGCACTTACAGTATGCATTTGTGTGGCCGCGTCAACTGGGCAAGCCATAGACTCCACCATCTGCAAGGAGCCTGTGGGCGCCGCCTGCGTACTCTGCCCAAGAGATGTTGAGGGTACAATGGTGCTGAAGAGGATGATTGTGAGAGGGACATCTGGGTCTTTGGACAGTTGACATCCTAGGTCGCCTCTCATGTCCTTCTTTACGGCCTCGTCAGTGTGCGCGGCTGTGAGCGGTGCAGAGCTGTCCGTCGAGGTGGCAGTGGTGAAGCGCATCTCCTCTTCAGCAAAACTATCTAGGAGTGGTCTCATGTGTGGGTATGGAGGTGAGAGGATGAGGACAAGAGAAAGGGATGGTGGCGGGAGGGTATGTGTGTTTATATAGTTTTCTGGAGGGGGTTTGGCAGCCCCATGTGATTTCCCACAGATCCAATGGACCGTTTTTCGTGAATCATCTCGACTCTATAAGAGTGGAAAACAGGAAGGTGTCGGATCCAATGACTTTATTCGTGATTCATCGAGAAGAGCAAATGTCATGCTCGTCAAAGATTCGACAATATAAGTCTGTATCGGAAGCCTTTTTTGACTTCCAGAGGACAAAACAGAGGCCATCCTCACGTCGCCCTTTCTCAAGACGAATATATAGAGATATATCGAAGCATGTGGCTTCGGAACTCGACAACACGAGCGAGGGTACTGAATCTTGCGGTGGAAGGAGGTAATACAGTATGTGCCTGAAAGCGCAGCTCACTATTGAATTACTGCGCAGAAATCGGCCCTGCGCAGGCGGTCTTCATATATATAAGAACGTGGAAGGAGTGTTTGACGAGGTGCGGCTGAGGAAAGAAGAGGACGAAAGGCCAAAATCTATACAGGAATCTTCAGATGTTGAAATTAGAAACTATCACAAGTCGACGCTAACGTGAATGCAACCCTGCCGTTATATAGCACACCATATATACCCATTTTCGCGCTCATGGGAGCTGTTGAACGCCCCGTTCCTTCCCATCACTCCCTCCAGCCGAAGCAATCATGTGGATCATACCAGTTTTCTACAAATGTCCTGGTTTGGCAAGCAGAAGCATTGCCGCATCAGGAACAAACAACCAGGAAGTCATACCCTCCTCATTACTGCTACCATGCAAGCCCAAGTGCTCCCCACAGCAAGCAAGCCTCCGCCGTCTAGCAAATGTAGCCGCCCTCCTGCCGCACAAACACCAAAAAAATGCTCTCCGTCTATTCCGCCTTCTTGCTCCCCTTCTTCTGAGCAGCCCTCTCCCTATCCCTCTTAGCATAGATACCCGCAGTGAATGGATTCTCAAACGCCAAGGCAACCTTATACACGAGGAACACCCACACCGTAAGCAACACACCAGCCGGCTTTCCATAATACAGCGCCGCGGCGAGGAAGCTCATCGTGGATCCGTAGTACATGGGCGCATCGGTAACGTTGAAGGGAAAGCCCGTCACCATGTCGTCCATGAGAATGCCGAAGTAGTCGCCGAGGAAAGTACCCGTGATGCCAAGGGCCCAGGTCGACGTGATGACGAGGATGTTGCCAGCGGCGAAGAGGGCGTAGGAGGCGAGCTTTACGGCGTCAGTCTCGAGGGCCGGGTGGCTGGGTTGCGGGGCGAGGGCTTCCTTGTAGAGGTAGTCGCGGACCATGCCTAGCGAGAAGATGGTGAGGGCGAGGAAGTAGCAGGCGATTTGGGAGTTGCCCAGGAAGAGCTTTGTGAGGATCTTGTTGCGGTATTCTGTTTGTTTGTTTGCGGCTTCCGTGTTAGATATGGCATGGTCATTTTTTCTAGGGAGAGTATGGAATGTTCGGACCTTGACGGGCAACGATGCTTGAAAAGGCAAAAGAGTTAGCTTTCCTGCCGGCGACTTGCATGAAGGGATAACGGTGTAAATGCTCCCGACTTACTTCCAGAATAACGGGTTGAAGGCGATCGCAGCAGCCGAAACTAATTCCACTTCGTCAGTCTCTCTCACTCACACTCACACATCCTCTCTCCGTCACACGGAAGCAAAGAGCCCCATCAAGGTCTAATCCTTACTGTAGAGGCTCTGCTGGTCGAAATCGACCAGATCAGTAATAGAGACCGACATCCTGACGAGGGAAACAAGATACGAGGGCGGCACAAGGAAGCAAGAAAGAGGATCTGGTGGTTTGCCGGGTAGTGGTTTGGGAAAGCTAAAGGTGGGAGAGGTTGGACGGAAGAAAGACAACTATCTCGGATGTTTGGCAAAAAATCGGTGGAGCTCTCATCTGCCGTGTCCGTGCCTGTGCCTGTGGGCTAAAAATTGTGTGACGACATTAAACGACAAGCAAAAAAGTGCTGGGAAATCAACAGAACTGAGCGACACCGCAAGTCACTCATGCAACTGCCTGGCCTGAAGTGGAACAGCTCCGGTTTAGGGGCCAAACTGTCTAATAAACACGTGATTCTCAGGCGGTTTTAGCAGCTAAGGAGGATTACACGACGCTCCACAGCACGAGCACTGAACCCCCACGGATCCGCTGTTAATATCCCGCATTCCATCCCAACGCCAAGGGCGATGGCGGCTCAACTCTTTGCGGTTTCTCTTCTGGGGAAAGAGCTGGGGAAACGGAACTACATCGCAGGATCATGAGTTGAGGATGATACATTAGTAAACTTACGTTACAGGAGTACCGTAATGTTCTGGGGTAGGAGTGGATTTGCGATACATCTTGGTTGCATGTGATCACCATGTAGCTTCAAAGCTCAAGCTTGCAGACGGGCAATCACAATATCGCCATGAGAACCCACCAATGTATTCAATCGTGAAATATATTCATATAATTGTACAAGTCTCGGTTTGCTCTGCCACCATTCTACAAGCCAATTTTTCCCTGGTATCAAACATAATAGACTGAAAAAATTTACTCGGCAACCCACACAGCGCTCATACCCATACCCGTTCCGATACACATCGAAGTGTTGCCAATCTTCTTTCCTGTCCTCTTAAGCTCGTAGAGTAGGGTCGACACTTGCCTAGCACCAGTGCATCCAAGAGGGTGGCCGAAAGCAATAGCACCACCCTTGGGGTTAATCTTCTCAGCAGGGATGCCGAGTTGGTTGGCGCACCAGAGGCACTGGCTAGCGAAAGCCTCATTGATCTCGTAAATGTCGACATCGTCACGGCCGATACCGGCAAGGTCGAGGGCCTTGGGGATGGCCTTCCAGGGACCCTGGCCCATGAGAAGAGGGGGAACACCGGCGACGGACGCGCACACGAACTTGCCGATGATGGTCTGGCCGAGCTTCTCGGCGGTCGATCGCTTCATGAGGAGGACGGCGGCGGCACCGTCGGAGATCTGGCTGGCGTTACCGGCGTGGATGCTGCCATCCTTGGAGAAGGAGGCCTTGATCTTGCCGAGGGACTCGGCGGTGACGCCGGCGCGGACACCGTCGTCCTTGCTGACTACGATCTCCTTGACCTCGCTGGTCTTGGGGTCCTCCCACTTGACCTTGAGGGGGACGATCTCCTGGTCGAATAGGCCGTCCTTCTGCGCCTGGAGAGCCTTCTGGTAAGAGGCGGCGGCGAAAGCGTCCTGGGAAGCACGGGTGATCTTGAGGTCCTTGGCCATGTCCTCGGAAAGGCGGCCCATGGGGACCTTGCAGTTGGCGGCCTCGGTGTGGCCATTGAGGAGGTCGGAGAACTCGGTGACGGCTCCGGGGCTAGAAGACATCAAAACATGTCAGTATACAAATTCCAATTCGCGCAGAATGTCGAGATCGAACGCGCATACCCGTATTGCGTGCTCATGCTCTCAACACCAGCACCGACACCAATCTCAATCATGCCAGCCTTGATCTGGTTCGCGACATCGACGCAAGCCTGAAGACCAGACGAGCACTGCCGGTTCAGGGTGCGGACAGCGGTAGTCACGGGGAAGCCGGCAACCAAGCTGGCCGCGCGCATCTCGGTCGCACCGCCACCGGGGGCGAGCACAGTTCCGACGGCAATATCCTCGACCAAGGCAGGGTTGATCTTGGAGCGGTCGATGAGGGCGGCGAGGACGCCGGCAAGGAGATCGGCGGCGGCGGTATCCTTGAAGCCTCCCCTTCCACCCTTGGTGAGAGCAGTTCGGCAGCAGGCAGTGACGACGATCTGTGGATGGGTGAAGTTGTTAGTTCCGAGTGTCCCTAATTGGAAAATGTAGTATAGAGGCTTGAGGCTGGTTGGTTGAATTGTAGACGGGCAAGCGAGGAGATACGGACATCGTCGGGGTTCTTTTGGAGAAGCTTTTCGCGACCGTTCTGGCCAGCGATCTGGCCGGAGATCTGAGATAGCCTGTCGAAAGCTATCGCGGAAAAGTTAGGTACGGCGCCCAAAAGTCATCAGTACTTCTCGTGCGGACTTACCACCCATTGTGATGAATCTACTCGAGTTCTCGTAGCTAGTAGGAAAAGAAGGAGGAATCGGATGAAGGATGGAGAAAAGTAAAATGTGTGTATGTCGAGTCGAAATGGATTAAAAAAGAAGAATTGAAGACGAAAACGAGCTGCGGACGCCTTATTAAGAACTAAGTTTCCAAGAGTCAAAGTTACCTCGGATGTTGGTCGTGAAGAGGGAACACAGGCTCCATCACCAGGCCAGAAACTCCAGACATGGAAATGTGTCCGACGGAGCACACTTCCAGAAGGCCTCTGATGTCACTTGCAGGCCGAGGCATGCCGGCGTTTAGGGAGCGTCTTGGCATCCACCTGACCACACCAGTGAGCACCACCCCCCACACCTGTGATGGGTGTCGCGCATTTTCACATGCTAGAATCCTGGGAGCCAACAGGTTGGGCAGGCAATACGGAATCCGGAAGTCAAATATGGCCCAAACTTTACCTCGTGTGAATGATTACTTCCCCGGACAGCCCGCTCGTTCCTAACTTGTAAACTAAAATTGTGGCAGCGCCTTCCAGCACTTGTTGATTCTGGACCGTTCGATTAATAATAATCTCCGTTCAGGTTGTCTTCACTGCCCCGGTACAACTGTACGGAGTACAATTGTCGTGTACCTTTGTGGGGTTGATCATGATCTTTCCACGTGCTGCTGAGAGGATTGAATCCACGTTCAATTCAATTCCGAAGATAGGAAGGTGCATCTACAATTTGTAGCTCAGAAACCTTCGATTCGAGTACCCAAGTGTCCTTCACTGGCCACCTCAATCAGATACCCGCCGACGACCAGATCCATGAGGCCCAACCCTACACTCTTGTATATCACATTCCCCTCGCTTAACCATCGAGCTCTAGCCTCGTCCTTGTGCTTAGCCTCTCCCGCGGCAGAGCTATTCTGATCAAGATCAACAACCTCTCCCAGTCTGGATTATAGTTAGCTCATGTTCCCCGAAATTCCCAGCGCATGAGCACGAAATAACTTACTCGACAAGACGGCTCGGGCCAATCTTTGCATGAATAATCTCACCAGCCTCGGTCATGACTCCCTCCAACGTGTCTACCACGATTGCCCCTCCATCAAGAGGGTCGTTTCGAGGCGCCTTCGCCGACTGCAATAACAGCTCTTCGGGAAGCTCCCTCATGGCTGGAGTGTAGCTCCCAACAGCAACCACCAACCGGGTCTTTTTCCTTCCCTCCCCACTCGTAAGAATGCTGCCATCAAACAGGTCCTCGGTCGAGGGCGTGCAGCAGAAAATGATATCAGCTTCCCGGAGCCGCTGTTGGAGAAGCCCCTTATAGTCTGGGGTGTCGGGCGAAAGAACGTCGAGCTTCGCTGCCTGCCATCCTTCGCGGGCTTTCACCTCTGAAGGGACGTTATCGAGATCCCTGAGAACTTCCTGTGCGGTGGTTTTGTTCCTGTTGATAACGGTGACGCGCGCTGCCGTGCTGCCCTTTTGTATCAGAGCCAGGCGTACGTGCCAGTATGCTTGCTTGCCAGCTCCGAAGACGATGATATCTCGGACAGTAGACCGCAAGTTGACAAGACAAGACGATGCCAGTGCAGTTCGGAAAGCGGTTACGGCTCCCGCATGCAATAATCCAGTTGCCGTGCCATCGGGGGCGAAGAGCATAATCGCTCCCGTCGGCTTTATGGCGGGTGCAACTTGTTGGCCCGGCGTACTCAGAGTGACGACTGGTGCATGTTGGTTAAAATGCTTGTATCAGATATCCCGGATAATAAGTTTACCTTTAATTCCCATTCCAGTCGGTCCCACCGAGGGCATGAACAACGTAGTGGTCCCGGTCCTTGGATTGCTGTGGTGAGTCCTCGGAGGTTGGTGATACGTTCCATCTTCTATGGACTGGGTATTTGTTGAGTATTCTCGAAGCGCTTTCGATAGATGCCTCTGGAAGCCAAGAAGCTGGGTCGCCGTCAAGTTGTCCAACACGGACTTGGCTTGGGCGTCAGTCAACACGGTCAGCGACATGGTGATGGTCAGTTCTCAGATGTTATAAATATGTTATTATTCGGTAAAGGTGTTCCATGAACTGCTTTGGCGAGCTGAGTTTCCCCAGATTGTTGATCTTGACTCGGAGGTGATCGCTTGAGATTCCCCATTGACAAGAGGCCGCTAAGCCGACAACAACCTTTCAATCGCCAAACTCCCTCCGATGCCGCACCCGTTGGGCCGACCCCGTTGCGGGCCATTAATTCACTAACATCGGGTGATGATTAATTACAGCGCATCGAACCTGGTTTTTTGAATGTGCCCTCTGCGTGAAGTTGTGGGAACGATGAGGGTGCAAGCACTGCTCCACTAAGCCAAGCTCAACTTGAAGTTGCGTTCGAATTCCATCAGGATGCCGTACAGAACTATCACGAGGTGCCTCAAATTGGGATTGTTTTCCTGAACTCGTAAGAACTGGTTAACCACTATGCTTATTATGAATAATATTGCCTATTATTAGACCTGCTCCCTCGACATGCATTAACAGCAGCGGGGCAGCTCACAGGCATATTCAGGAACTTGACAGAAGAACTGGGGTTCATTCACAGCACTCGAGCACATATAGACCCTTATCCTCGAAAGAAAAAAGGTGGACGACGAGACGAAAAAAAGAAAAAAGAAAAGGAGGGGCAGCAAAAATGACAGTTGAAATCTCCCGAACCTGAATCGAACAGGTGACCC